TAGAATTGCCTTTTCTGTTTTGAAGCATTGTTTCATAGCTTATAACTGACCTTTATGTTTCTTGCTTCATGGCTTATTGCAGCTTATTGTGTCAAGGAACTGCATGTCAGAGCTGGATGGACAAACCTGAGTCCTAACCTTTGCTGAAGTTAAGACCAAGGAATGTAGAGTAGTTGTATAATAAAATAAAGCCCATATGTTCAGAATGAGTGTTCCTGAGCACCCTCCGAGATGAGACCGCTTCAAATTGTTCTCATCTCAGGGATTTGTGGTCTGGAATTTCCAAGATGTATGAGGAAAATCTTTATTGAAGAGCAACATGACATCAAGATTTAATCATACCTGTGTTTTGCTATTTTTTCCCCAAACTGAAGTCTTAAAGATTTGGCCCCTTTATTTCTGCCCGCTTGGGCCACTCATTCCGTGTACATATGGAGACGGTGGCACATGTCAGTTTGCTTGCATGAGGTAGGAGTGTGTATATTCATAGCACTAGGTTCTATTTAGTTATTTTTCTCAAACATGCTCAGCTTTTAGATATCTCATATAATTTGAAATGCTGCTTACTATTAGTTAGCCAGAAGAAAAGTGAATATTATTTCCCCCTTTTGCTTATAGTATACTTTGCTTTTTATGAGAACAGCTAGTTGTTGCTAATTACCACCCTTATTATTTATTGATTTTTAAAAATAATTTTCAAAAATAAATCAAGTAGAAGGAAATAGAGAATAGATCTTTTTTTTTTTTTTTCCTATTAACTGACATGTCTGGACTTTGAGCTAGAAGTCTCGGAGTGTATCAGTGGCCAGCAATGAGTCTTGAATTATGATGGACACTAAAGGTAGAACTAGTGAGTGAGCAGTCAGTCCCTCTTCTGGGACCCATTTGTATGTGTGTCTCTGCAGTATTGAAGTCAACATACAAAAGTATAAAAGCACAGCAATTTGAGAATTACGCAGAACTATTGCTGGCTGAGAGAAATCCATGAAATTAAATTTCATGAATGATACTGTAATCTTTTCTAATGTACGTATGTTCTAGTCTCAAATACATCTTTATTATTAGGAGCCAGGTAAATTAGAATGAGCCGTGAACAGCAAATAACATTGTTTTCCTGACGTGCACACCATTTATGGTCTATCGGTTGTCTTCAGAGCAGTTGTTTATTGCTATTTTGCTTCTTGTCCTCATCCTTCCTTAAGGTCACAGGATCCCAACGCAGCAAGGTAAAACCATGTATATGTGTGTATTTGTCTGGGTCTGAGTTTCAGTTTCTTGTGACATTTGCCTTTGTTAGACCCAACATCTTGGATTCTTTTGTTAGAAAACATCTTGAAAATCTTTCTACAAGGTTGTAACTCTAGTGTAATTCGTCTCTTCCCCTTCCTTGGTTTATTCTTCTTGCAGTTTCACTGCTTGGGAATTTGAACTTTGCTAAATCTGAGCACAGACTGTGTTGAATAGAGGAGTTGAGCCCGTTAGTGGTTAAGCTGTTGGTGGGAAGCATTTTAGTGCAGGGTTGGGCCTCATCCCTCCTGGTGTTTTTATACTAGTCTCACTACTTGATAATGGACCTGATAAATGGTATGGCTGGTGAGATTAGAGAGAAGTCTGCTTTTCATTATGTGTTAGTACCTGGAGATTTCAAAACACAGTACACTGTGATTTCAATATTGAATTTGGCATTTCAGTGAAAGAGGAAAGCCAGATGATTATTTCTCTTTTAAATATTTGATTTGGAAAATTTGCAAAAAGAAAACATTTTCATCTAAATTACAAAGATGTTTTTTACTTAAGTATGGATCCTATTAAATTTTCTTTTCTTGAGACTATTTAGTAGGAAATTTGATCATAAACATCCAAATAGATAGTACTCAAAATGATTTCAAAAAAATGAATTTAGACTGTTACAAAGAATCTAAAAGGAACACATTGTGTTTTTTGATTCACTGTTAAATTTGGAGGACTATATTGTTTTTACATCCCAATTCTTGTAAATTTTAAAATCTGAGTACGTGAGGATACTGTCAGATATAGCTTCAATTTGATGGATGTGATGGTTTATGACATCTTGGATATAACACTTTCTAGCATATTATGAGCTTAAGTAATAGATGATATTGGGTTCAATATTGACTTGAGAGATTTTTATTTTTTATCATGAATTAGGTAGAATTCCTGTGAATTGTTGAGGGATGACATCAACTGAAGATTTGGTTTTCTCGTTAGCACAAGGTTTATGCCTACCTAAGAGTGTGCTGATATTTGCTGAATGAGGAAGGATAGGACAGGACAAGATGAGCAAATTTTTGTTTTGAAGGAAGATTGCAGTCTTAGTGAGATCTAAAAGCAGGTCCAACTTGGTGAGTATGGTCAAATTTAGTACCTTTGAAAAGCCTCTTATTCAGAAGAGAAGCCTGGGAATGGCCAGCTGTGGAATCTGGTCTTCAAAGTGTCTGGCCAGACTAAAGACAGTCATTGGGCAAGGTGTGGAGCCTGACCAGAGAGAAGGGGCTGCCTTTGAATTTAGACTGAATTTGGGGATTTTCACTACTTACAAGTTGTTGCACTAAGCTCCCTATGCCTTGGACAACAACTTTGTATCTATGATTAAGATAAAAATGTGCTATTCTGGCAAAATACATGCTTTGTGAGCAAGTAATTCAAAGGTTGCATGGGAGAAGCAGAATCAGTCATCTGTGAAGATACTCTTCTCAGAGGTTGAGTATGTGATACCAGAAAACCACCAAAAAATGCAACCAGACAATTGGATTAGTACTTTTTTCTGGTAGTGCTGTGGTTGAACCTAGGGCCTATGCCTATGAGGCAAGCACTCTGCTGCTGAGCTCCAGCCCCAGCTTAGGGACCAGTATTTTCTTTGTGCATTTAGTATTCTACAGGCAGTTTATAATGAGCTGTCTGGTTGCTTGACATAATTTGTGTAGAATCTCATTGTAGGATTTTTCATGTAACTTGTAAGGAATCTGAAATTGTTAGTTACAATAATTCTTATAACAAATTATATTAAATATGGAAAGAACATAAAGTTTGCAGTAAATGAATTGTATCTCTGTAACTAATGAAATATTCCTATCTGCTGTAGTGTCTACTTTTATTCTTTATCTATATTCAACTAAGATGCTGAGAAGAGGAAAGAAGTAGACACTTTGAGAAGTGTGGTGTTGGAAGGAACTTTTCCATTAGGAGTACAGGATTCCTAATTAGGGGCCTGGGGCACCAAGTATTTGACAGCTCTTTCTTTCTTCCCTGTGTGTTATGTTGACATGATCCTATTTAAGCCTTTCGGATTCATCTTGATAATCTAGTTCCCTGTTTCCTATAGAATGTAAATATGATTTTTAAAAGCTACTTATTTTACAACTCTATTGAATATTTAATTATTTGATAGACTTGTGGCTATTTCCAAGTGAGAACCATAGGAGGACAGTTAAATCTTATGAAAAGGGAAGGCACATTCTACCATTTACCTGCAGAGTTAATGTTTGCAGTAGTGGGCTTTACTTAGCTTTTGAGTTTTTAATGAACCAAAGGAAATAATATTAAAAACAATAAATAAAACAATAAATAAATAATGATTTAAGTCAAATATGTTTATTTTTCTGAGTACAATGAGTTTTTTTTTTTTTTTCCTTAGCAAGGTCATCAAAGAGCTGTACTCTAGGGGACCATCTTTTAAAACTATGAATTCTCAGAAGTTTCCTTTATCTCTTGCCCTTACCAAAAATCCAAAGACTAAAATGAAAATCCAGTGAGAGTATCTGTGTGGAATGTAGAGGCACCATAATGTGGATTTATTATTCACTGTAAGACCTAAGTTACTGACAGGGGAGCTTAGGTGAGTGGGAAAATGGATCATTAACTTTTCTTCTCTACCATCTTTTTGAAATATTAGGCAAGTTGCTGCTTCTTGGGCAAATGCCCAATTTCTAGCTCACAAGAATATTTTCTCATGAGTCTCCAGGATCCTATTATTCAGTAGTTCAGATTAAAAACAATTTCTTGTGTCTTAAATTCTAAATATGCCTGTGGCAGAGTTGACATTTTATAATAAAAACTTGGGACTCGCACATCCTCTCTTGGATGGACCCCGGTTGTAATTCACATGGTTTTATACTTGCAGAAGTGCTCAGACCACTACCCAACTCCTGCTTCAAAGTAAGCACCCTGAAGAATGGAAGAATCAATTTAGGGCCAAAATGTCTGAAGGGTTGATAATATACAGCACTGCTCCAGTGGTAAACAAAGCAAAACTTTTTCCCACTCCAAAGATACAAATTTTAAGGATTTCATTTTATTATAATTCTGAAAGAGTGAATTGGTTGTAAGATGTATTGCTACTTAATAGCTACATAATTTGAACTTTGAATTTAACAAAGAGAACCTTACATGTCTAAAATTTGAATATATAGCTATGAGTATAAAATATTGAACTAAGTATCCCTTTTGTCAAGAAAATTTACAATTCCTTATTCCTATTGCAAAAGCTATATGAATGCAAAACACACACTAATGTGCTACTGTTGAACCATAGAGGGGAGAGGAATAGTGGGGCTAATAATGATGCAATCTGCCGACTTCGTTTTTGTGTATGAAGTTGATATTTAAAACAGTGGTCACACATCTTAGCCCAGATTTCCTAGAAAACAAAGACCAAAAGCTAACGTGCTAACACTTCATTGAGATTTTGAGTGTTACAATCCCAGAGAAATAAAAGTGAGGATGAAAAAAAAAAATACAGGAAGCGGGGAGGGCTAACATAAGTGGCTATGCTGTGGTACAGCTGGTTGCTGAGTGGTGTGGCTTGCCTCCAGACAGTCCACTGCATCATGGGACAATGCCTCCTGGGGAGGGAGGAGGAGCATCTGCCCTTTCTTGTTGGCCACAGGAGTTCATTTCTTCAGTCTTCCTACTGATATTATTTGGCTCTGCCAGGTGACCCCTGGCCAGCCAGAGCCATCTTGGGTCTAGCCTATTAGTGCTCAGGCACTGGAGTCCCCTTATCCATCAGCAGTGGGTCTCCTAGGTTGTGGTCATGATAACAGCCATCTGGACTCAGAAAGAAGGCAAGTGTCCAAGAGAGAGGGGTTAGGTGGAAGAATAGCACTGATCCTGGTACAAGGAAATTCCCAGAAAGTACTGTCCTGTATGTTTTATGTGATCATTGAGGCATTTGAGTGTAGACATAAATGTCAAGCAATATAGAAAACATTCAAATATGGAATTGTGCATTTTCATGTGCACAATAATTTGAATTCTTATGCTGTTATGTTTAAAATAATCCCAGTTGAAGCTTTCACTTGGCCAAGTCATGTACCATCAATGGAGCAGCAGAGTCATGAGGACACATACACCCAAGTGAAAGGTCCATGTTGAATCCTAGCCCCACCACTTAGATGTGTGAATTTAAGCCTCAACTCCCCTATGATTGGGACTGATCTTAGTATTTTTTTTAGGGCTCTAAGGAGGATTAATTTAGTTAATATGTATAAGGCACGCATTGCCTATCACATAACAAGCTCTATAAGTATTTGCTGTTATTGACACATTAACTAATTTAACTTTCCCTTCCAAAAACAAGTCAGAGAATACCATACAGAAACTTATGCAGTACACTGAGCAAAGAACTATACACAGGGCAGGAGACCTGGTGTCTCACCTGAGTATTGTATGATCTTGAGCTAATCAAACTCACCTGCTCTGTCTCAGCCTTGTCTTGGAATAAAGAGCTTTTCCTTAAATTCTTGGGATCAAGTACACCTTTAAAATTTGTCTTACATGCTAATGTGCCACAGTCCTTACTGTTTTTCTGGGCAATTTCACAGTTTTTCTAAATGCATAAATATTGATAAAGGCATGCAAATTTCCATTTTTATCTGATCTCTGGGAAATAAATTCTGTGCTTTTTTAAAATAAGAATGTTCAATGAAAGTGTTTCATAGAAAATAATGTGTAATGTCCATACATACATATGTACCTCCACCTTTGCCTAGTTTAGGGAAGTACTGCATATATATATATATGAAGTCCACGTTTAGTTTAGTGTTTCTTTTGTCTGAGTAGGTTAGTAAAACTTGCATATATATATATATATATATGAAAAAGCATAATAATAAAGTACTTAAGACTCATGAAATTTAACCTTCAGCAATGAGGTTAACAACAAACCCTTTGCTGTAGAGTCTTGTCAGTTGGCTGTGGGATGTTAGCACATTTGATTTTCAAGCTTTCTAGGAGCCAACTTGAAATTTTATAAATTTAGCAGTTCATTAATATCAGTAAACTAGTTTTCTTGTTTAGGAGAAACAAAAATTCCTGAATTTTAGATCAACAGCATTTTTTTTCTCCCCTGAGGACAATTTGTTGTAATGAAAAATGTCCTCAACAGTAATTATTTGAGAGTTTATCCAGTGAAACCCAGTTGTTCAGATGCCACCCGAGGAGGGAGGGGTATAGGATGGGCCCCAGGTGCCTGGGGGAATGTGGGGACACTGGGATTTGGGAGCTGTGTTAGGTAATTAGAGTGTAGCAGTTTATGCAGAGTTGATCTGGGTCACAGTTAATAATTAGTTAATTAGTGTGCATGACCACTTTTGAAAACTGAAAATCACAGACTCTAGAGTGCTTGTCATGTCCAGTCATGACCCCTCTGTGATGAGACTCTCCCTAATCTCTCACTCCCTGATTCAGGAGGCCTCCGGGAACCTGTGTTACCTCATCACAACTTGTGCTATTCATGGTCATCTGTTGCCTTAGGTGGTGGTTCTGCTCTTATCAGGTGGTGTCAGGACAGGAAGGATCCATCCAGCTTGCCTTCTGGATTCAGGGCCTTTCAAGCCAAGAAAATGGGCAGATGAAGGCTGTTTTAAGTCAGTTCTGTGCTCAGGGTGATCATTGCCTCTAATGATTAGCTGAACATTGCTGACTTGATGGCTCCTGATTGTCAAGTTGTCCTTCACAGTTTTATATCTCATGAATGGAGCTTTTTGTGGTATAGAATAAATTTTATTCACTGGACCCTGAAAGGAAACTCTTGGAACTGAGCTGTGCTTGATTGCTTTAACATACCTTTAAATAAATTCTAAATGTTCTCACTTCAAGGGAAATGGTGTTCTACAGTCAGTGCAGGTGTATGTGTTTCTAGAAGAAGGAACGTGAGCAGTAGACCCACACCACACACACTCCTCCACTCAGAGCTCCGGGACAGTCACTGAAGTCCACATCTTTGGTTTAGTGTTTCTTTTGTCTGAGTAGGTTAGTAAAACTTGATCAAAGTTTCTATTCAAAACAGCTTTGCTTTGGTAAATACATCTTTTTTTCTGTCTCTGTCTCCCTGTTTCTTTTTTGTTAAGTAGTGTTGGAAACTATGCTCATCCTATTGAAAAGCAGAACTCTGGAGGATTATTGTAGTATTTCAAACTTTAGTAGCAAAGAGAATGAGTATTAGTGTAAGGTGCAGACAAAACATTGAGTGAGCCAAAGCTACAATGTGATTATTATTTGTTTGTGTTAGTATAATTCTAAAGACAGCAGCTTTGACCATGCATTGAGAACAAATTAAATAAACTTTGATAGTGTTCTGATTTTGTAGCTTTTCAAACTCAAAGATAACATTTGTAATATTTTAAGTATTGTGATCACAAGCTATGTGACATCACTTTTTTTTTCTGTCACTTAGGTTTCCCTGAATACCTATTATGTGCAGGGAACTATATGGGGTATACAGTACACAGGGTTTGCATACTGTATGTAGTTACCACGAATAAAATCTATGGCTGAGTCCTCACAAATCTTTTCTTCTAAGAAACTCCATATACATGGTTCAGTTCTTTAAAAATTTTAGTAACCATTTATTATTAAAGCTATACTCCTCAGTGTGTTTTCCCATAACTTTAGGTCAATTCTACATAAGCATGGCTAATCTATAGTTTTGGAAGCTAGAAACAAATCAACACTGAGGTAGAGAGTGGACCTAACGGCTAAGGTTTTGTCTTTCCTTAGTCTTGAGTTGGCCACCTTCTGTTGTTAATCAAGTTATTAGAACTATTTCCTCTCTTTTGACTTTGTTTCTCTGGTTAGCGAATTAGATCTTCTATATTTCAGCCTTTTTTTTTTTTGCTAGTGATATTGACATTCCACATCACCTGTAATATTCAGTATGTCAAGTAGGAGTGATGAAGTTGAATTATAACATTACTAAAACATGGGAGATATCTTTTAAGAGTTCAGTTCCTGGAATTTTCTGTTTTATTAGACTAGAGTTTGCTCCCACATGCAGTTTAAAGAGAAACATACGATGAAGACCTTGGTGACATTTTAGAAATACAAAGAGAAGCAGCAAAGCAGCTGGGCCCTTTGGTGAAACCCTGGACTGTGGATTTTATGGCCTTAGCCTGTGATATGTGTCCAGGCTGCCCACATGTCCATGCAACCTGGAGAGAATCCTTCAGAAATTATGAATTTCTTTGTTATCATCAGGCTATTCCACTTAAAATAATTCCTGTCTCCATTTTGGGGTTATACTACTTTCTCCATCAAGGAGCCAGGGACAATTGTAATTTATATTTGTTGTTTCAATATTTTTTTTTCTCATGTAAGGCAAGTTGTTGCAGAACCAAATATATTTTATTCTTCAAGCCTGTGTACATTTCCCCCATCGAGTGTTAAAAAGTTCTTGGCACAATGGAAGAATTTAGCCATTTTATTACAAACTTCAGTGACACACAAAGAAATGATGAGGTCAAGTACTTCTATTCAGTGCAGGCAGGTGACTTGATCATGGGTCTGACTTACCACTGTGCTTGACCTTCAAAAGACTGATGCCAATCATGTTAGGATGAGAGCTGCTGATTCCTGGTTGTTCTCAGCAATCAGAACTTATTGTCTGAAAGAAAATCCAAATCGCAGAGCTGTTCTTATTTTTCTCAAACTTTCTTTCTAATGTAGGAATAATTGAAAGACTAATCTGCAGGTTGAAGATAACCTAGTGTTTATCTAAGACCCTGAGGCAGATAAAACAGAACCTGGGCTGAGGGAGGGAACCCTGTTTTTAACAAGGTGTTTTCAAGATTCAGTTTTCCTGAGTAACATGCTTCCAAAAGGTCCATCTCCAGTTTGCTTAGAAAGCTAATGTGCCAAAAATTTGAAGGGCAAAAAAATAATTACTTTTCATCATTTTTACTAAGTTGGAAATCTTTCTGGTTGTTTCTCAAGTTCTGTTTGTTTTGTTATTGTTGTGATGGTGGTAGAATTTCCCAGTGAAAGAAATTAAATTATATGTCAAGAAGCAGTTCTGAAAGGACAGAGCACAGGATGGAAAGAGATCATGTTGCAGATTTCTGAAGAAAGCCTCCAGCTCAGCCCAACAAAGGGGAAATCCAAGGTTGGCCTGATCTCGCTCCATGAAGCAAAGCTTTCTCTTGTTTTTGGACCAGGATTTCTTTTTTTTTTTTTTAAATCATCTCCCCATAAATACTTATGACTTTTAAAATTGAGAAGCCAGATCTTTGTCCAGGGAGTTAATTTTGGAAGCAGGTAGTTTGAAACTCTGTCAGTTTCTTGATCCTCCTGAGGCTGTACATGTTACAGGTGATTCCAGTTACCAAGAGGCTACCAGGACCTTGGATCTACTGTGAAAGTTATTCTGGCAGATTTTGGAACCAGTCTACCCACTTTTGGAGTGCAAATGGCAAATATTGTTTTTTCCTCAAGAACTTGTGGCCTGCTGCCGTCTTGTGTCTTGGAGGTTTCCTGATGACTGTGGCCCTGTGTTCCAGTGGGTCAGTAGAAGAGCAGCTCTTCCTGCCTCCCTGGCCTCTTTAGCTGTGTGAAGATGTCAGGGTAGTTCCCTAAGCTAATAATTCCTTACCATTTTCTTATTGGACAACTCTTTCACAAAAGGAGTTAGTTAGGATGTAAGCAAAAGTTCCATTCTTTGTTCTGACAAAGGGAAGAAAGTAAAAGATTGTTGGGTCTAAAAGGAAGAATGGGGTGTTGCTGACCGATTCTAAACAACCCCTGAAGCGCACCTGGGAGGGTCTTCTTTCAGTTTTTCTGAAACTGTGTTGTAATGACAATATGGTTCTGTGTGTCTGTGTGGTTTTGTTTTCGTTTTGTTTCTGACTTCACAGGAAGAGGTTTAAACATGAAGGCAAACCTTTTAGATGTTAGCATGGCTACATATGAAGCAAAGCTGCCTCTTTTTTTTTCTTTTCTCTGCTTCCATTTAGGCCTATCACGTAATTTAAGAAAAAATAAAAATTTAACCACAGGAGCTTTAACTATAGTGTGAAAAAAAAACCCTGATCAATTTTGTTTTCGCAGCACGATATTATCAAAGATTTAAGAAACAAATTTGCCAGCCTCGGCGAGAACTCTCTGGTAACAGCATAAATGTCTGTGTTGGTTGCTTTTGGTTTAAAGGTTTCTTTTTTTCATTTGTTTGAGCCCATTTCTTTTCCCCCTCCTTTTAGTTTATTTTTCATATTCTGTAACTAGCAAGCCTTCATTTTTTAAACCTCTTCCATCTTCCAGTGTCTATTTTCCGTACTTTGGATGGAAAGTTTACGGCAGCAAAGCTGTCTCTCTGGCCACCTCTGCTGCAGCTCCTACTGCTCTTAGGTCATATATGTTTTGGCCGCTGTGTTTATGGACATGATACTAATTGACTGTTTCATGTCCCATTGACTAAGCTTCTCTACCACGCCATTTGATGGACGCGCTGTCAAAGGGCTCTATGCAACTTTGATTCTGCAACTTATACTGCTTAGTTCCGTCTCAATTCTCCAGCGAACTGGATCGCTCAAGTGAATGATCATACCAGTCTTGAACTTGCTGTGCCTTTATATTTTATTCTTATCTCCTTCTTTATGTTTGCAGTGGTAGCTTAAGTGGAAAAGAACCAACTCCAGCCATTGCTCTGGCGACACCATGCAGTATCGTTTGTAACCACCAGAGAATACAAAATATAAAGGCACATGGCTTCTCTTATTCTTTGAGGGTGACTGGGGAGAACAGTATCATAAGTCCACTACTTGGTTGAAGCCTACTTTTTTTATCCATATCAGCTTTCAATTTTGCTTAAATGCTAAGACTTCTTAGTTAATGTCTTCCTGTGATTCAGTGATAACTTGCAACTCGCTGAGCAGTATCAAGTTATGGCCATGACTGGGGAGATTATCAAAAACCTGATCAACTTATGCACAGATGTACAAATCGGAAAGTGCAAGTTTCAATGATGAAGCACAAAACCGTGATACAGGCTTTGGACTAATCAAACAATTAAAATTGAGAAAAATCCATCCGGATGAACCAGTACCAAAAGTATATCAAGAAAAATATAAAGGGGAAAAATGAGAGATGAATATGTGATGATCTGTTTGATGACATTGTTGGTGTTGAAATGGTCCATAATGTTGTCATAGAGCCCATACATGAAGAGATGACTAAAATATAAAAAGCAGCCATGCTTACTGACAGCCACAACATAAATGGTTGGGGTTTGTGTTCAGGAAAAGGAGATGGAAAAGCAGAAGCTTCTCTACCAGCAAGCCAGGCTGCATGACCGGGGGGCCGCAGAGATGGTGCTGCAGACCATCAGTGCCAGCAAAGGTGAGGTCACTCTCTGTCCCTTGGAGCCAGGCTCCTGGCGCTCCCTCACTGGGTTTTTAGTTTATGACAAGCTGTATCATTGGCTATCAGCTCATCATTTACAGAGTTTAGTGGATTGTTTTCTTCTTACTAGAAAGGCTTACTTTATGTACGTTCTTCAACTTTTGTGTGGTACAACTAAGCTCTAGCAAAGTGACATTATAAATCAGACATTTTAAAGCTTTTCTGTATATCCAAAGAGTGCTATTTAAGCATCATGGGCTGTGTGGTGCTCTGTCAGCAGGCAAGCTGACCGTAAACAAGTGAACAGTGTGGATGTTTCAATAAATCTTTGTTTATACAGCAGGTAGCAAGCTCTGCATGGGCCTAGGGCTATAGTGTCCTGACCTTAAAATGTTTGGACATTTTTAATGAGTGATTTTTAACTGTTAAAGTACCATTGTCTATCTCAGTAGCCACCATTTCAAGGTGACTTTCCCTGCATTAGCAATATCTTTTTTGTGAAAACTTTGTAAGCCCTTTGTAATGAAATGGAAAAGTAATATTGTTACAATCTGGCATTAAGTGCTCCTAAATGATGGAAATCATTTTTATTTCTAAGAAGAGGTGAATAATGTAAAAATAAAATGTAATATACTAGATGATAAACAACTAGATGGATTTTAAAATTTTGTCATTATCTGAATAACTTAAAATTGAGAAGTCATTATTTTAATAAAGTCAGACTTTAGAAGTATTACAGGTGATGAATGAAAATGATAAAAATTCTAATAGAATATTGTTGAAGGGAGAAAAATTTTTCTTAAAGTCTTAAGTAACTTGTTGATTTAAACATTATTTTAATACACATGGTTGGTTTTGAAGCTTAATAATTTCAGCTCTTAATATTTGAAAATCTATTGTTTCTTCCTATGTTTTCATGTTTCAAGTCTTAAATATACCACACAGAATTTAGCAGAAATATTGATGGCAAAATATGCATTTTATCATTTTGGTGTTTTGGGTACATAAGTTACATAGGTTTGTCATAAGTAATAATATTAAAAAGAGTACCTTTTGAGGTAGACTATGTCAACACATCTGTGGAAAAATATAAGGAATGCTGCTTTTTATATTTTAAAGGTGAAACTGGACCCATGGTGGCTGCTACTTTGAAACTTGGAATTGCTATTTTAAACGGTGGGAATTCTACAGTACAACAGGTGAGGTCTTTGAGTAATTTACATGAAGTGGTTTTCAAACAGACTACATATGGAAAGAGCTACTGTAAAATTTTTCATTTCTTATGTAAAATATGTCTCTATTTTAATTTACTGCAATACCCAAGAGAGAACATAGAAAGGAAAAAGTAATTATATGATAGTCTTCCAAACTCAAACATAGAATGAATGATATGAGAGTATCTGAAACATCAATCTAAATGTGACCTTCTCCCATCCCAATGAGTTCTTACATTGAGGCATGAATCACTCTCTGGCCATAATATCTGACTGGATATGAGTCATCACAAAGTTGTGGAACCTGGCATGGGTAACCAGCTTGTTGTTTCCTTGGTACATGACTACATGAGTTTTGTTTTGTTTTTTTAAGGAAAAGTAAATAAAGCTGAACTAATCTCTCCAAAATACGTTTCAAAAATATTTTTTCTTGCCTTATGTTTTACTTTAAAAAACATTCCTTATATAGTGTAAGTATTTTCAGAAATCCTTGGCTCTGAGAGGAGACTGGAGACCCTGGGTTGCATTTACTTATTATCAGTACACATCTTCTTTCTGTAGAACTTCAAGTGCATATTCCATAACGTCTCTTTGATCCTCTAAGCCACATTCCTTTGTCTTAAAAAAATGATCAATCTGTTTCATTTTCCTCAGTATTTTTCCTAGACTAATATAATATGCTATGTGTTTTTGCCTATATTTGTGTGTAGCATGTCTGTGTGTTATGTATACACATACATACACTTTACATGCATGGATATTCTTTTGTACACGTGTATATATGCATACATCCATATAGTGTGCATGTGTATCCTGTATACAGTTAGTTTATGTTGTTTTGATCCGTATTTCTGAAAAATATCACTACCACCCTTTTGGCTGCTTTGAGCTTGTTTAGAACAGCACTGACAGTAGGAATTATCTTTTTCTATTAAAAAAAAAAAGCAATTTCTTTATTTTCTTAAGATCTTTGGGTCTGCCTTCTGGTGTCCTGTAGGTAAAGAGGCTCCTTAGCTTGCCAGGGATTCTAACCAATAAATTCAGCAATGTCAAAAATATCACTTGCTCCAGCGTCCTGCAGATCTCAGGAGCACAGCATACTTCAGGGGATTGTGCTCCCGGGACCTGGGCTGATGAAATTGCCACTTGCTGCCACCACCCAGCAGTACAGGAGAGTGTTATCTTGCACATTGCTAGCCTAGAAAAAGATCAAAATCCAGAATTCCAAGTATGCATATGCATACAGGGGTAGTACCATCACAAAGTTGAAAAATCCGAGGTTAAACCAGCATGAGTTGGGGTCATCTGTACATTTTATTTGAAACCTCCACCATGTTTTATCCATATTAAAAATAACTCTTTTGTTACATTTAGTTTAGCCAAAATGTTAATCATAGATTCTGGCCATCTATCCAAAAACAGAGGAGAAAAGTGAATAGTCCAGTAGTTTCTGCCGTACATTAGGGTGAGAGAGGGCAGTGTGGAAGCTGGATTCTTGGCTATTGCATGTGCAGGTAAGAGTCACATCTCAGCTCTAAGAGCTGTTCAGGGAACCCCTGTTGCTGGATACAGCCACTTGGACCTGCTTGCTGGTTTCCTTGCACTAAGTGTCTGAGTCTCAAATACTAAGTGAGATTGGAAAAGATTTGCCAGTACTGGTTTCCCAATATTTATGTGTTTGTGTGTGGGAACAATGCCCTGATCCCCATCCTCCGCACTTCTAGGTGTTCTCGCACATAGAAATGTGCAGTGGTCTTTCTTTGACATGTTTGTTACCATTTCATGATAAAGATGACATTAGAGATACTTGTATTTTTTGGCTACTTTTTACATTTGTTCCAGAATAGAAAGCATGTTTTGGTTGCTATATTTACTCAATAAAAAAGCTATGTGGTTTTATCTCTTTCTGTAGAAGATGCTCGACTACCTCAAGGAGAAGAAGGACGTGGGCTTCTTTCAGAGCCTGGCGGGCCTGATGCAGTCCTGCAGGTGAGGATGTGCTCTCCTCCTGGCTCCTTGGGCTGAGTGTTTCAAGAGTGTCGTCTTCTTTTCATTGCTGATAGCAATTATACCAAGATTTTTTTTGGAAGACATCTTAGGATGGGACAGTTGGCTTTGTCTTTTGTCCTATTTTGTGTTTAGAGTATTAGTAATGTCCTATCACACTTACTCAGTGTTGTTAGAGTCCTGAAATAGTCCCCCATGCTTAAATAGGGACTTACTAAGCTATACTCTACATACTTGAAGATGAATGCTATATGGTTTTTTTCAAAAGGTAAAAAAAGAAAATTATATTTTGATTTGGGACATGTGAGGCATTTTTCTTCATTTTTTTCTAAGTGATCCTTAACCAATTAATTTTTTGTAATCATTATCTATTTGAACAGTATTTAAAATCTTTCAGACAGCATTTGTCTGAGGAACCTGATAGAAACAATGTAACAAGTTGCAAAAGCATGATGATGATGATTCTATTTTTGGTAACTTTTCAGTGTTCTCCCTGAGCTGAACCATATGATATGTGTTTGACTTTCCTCTGGATCAGCTCAGGGTGGGCCCTGGGGAGAGGTTGGCAGGAACATGTAGCCGAGAGGCATCTGTTGGGACCTGGTCTCAGAGTACCTTGAACCTTCAGTGTTCAAGACACATGGCATTGGACAGTTGCTCCCCTAAACAGAGAAGGTGTTCTGTTCTCTAAATGTTTTTCTCTTGTTACTGTAGTGTCCTTGACCTGAATGCTTTTGAGCGACAAAACAAAGCTGAAGGACTTGGAATGGTGACAGAGGAAGGATCAGGTACTAACCACCTACATGTAAACTGCCTTGTCTCCCTTCTTCCATGAAACACATCCATTGTCAATTACATTTTCAGCAGAGATAGAATTGTTTTAAAATTGATAAAACGCTCATGAGACTCATTTGAATGTTCAGAACTGGACACTTGCACAGGATACCCAAGACCACCCCCAGTCTTCCAGATGGGTCCCAACTCTTGCTTGTCCTGGTCTACCTGGCAGTGCCTGCTGCCCTAGTTTTAGCAGAGTGGCACAGTCCCCCCATTGAGAATCATCTGTAGAATCTGCAGGTGCACAGAAGGACCAGGGTTGCGAAGGCAGGGCTTTGCCTGGCTGTTTTGGCCAAACGTCAGGCTCTCCTCCCCTTTGGAGAGCAGCTGTTTAGGTCCCTGAGTGACCCCTGTCCTCCACTCTGTCAGCGACTATCCTTCCGTCTCCAGCATCTTCGCAAGTACCAATTATTTTGTGACAGAAGTTAGAGTAGTTCTTTGTTTATGTGATTCTGATTACTGAAAAAAATAGTGATTGATGCCACCTGAGAATGTTTCTCTCTAACTAGATGTAGGCGAAAACTTGAAAGTCAAGCCTGCAATGCAATCAAAGCACAAATAACCACTGCTGCCCATTCCTTTCAGGAATATTTAAGAAAAAAATGTTACTTATATTGGTTTTTAATCATATGTCTGATTTTTACACTTGTTTTAGTGTGGTCACAGGTATTTAGTTCTTTGGCCAGCTTTGCATTTATCTTCTTGCCAATATGTTAGTTTGGTAACATTAATTTCTTGATCAGATTAATCTGATCTCAAAAAATAAATTTTTCTCCTGTTTCCTATTTGTAGCTTCTGCTTGCCTTTCTGAAAATTTTAGCTAATCAGTTTTTATCCCACTATTAGAAAAAAGAACTGTTTAGTTCGGACTATATTTGAAGTTTACTACTTAGGCACATCCTGTCCCTGCGAGTACTATGTGGCTCCCATGGGAGTTTTATTCTGTGACATTTGAATATGTAGATACAGTTGTATTATATGGGTCAGTGGAGTTAGTCACCTTCTGGAAAAATCAGCAACACTGCTCTAAACTTACTCAGGTTTTCTCCCTGCTGGTCCATCTGGAGAATCCAGGGGCCACTGTCTACCTCAGGGCTAGTTAACAGTCTGCCTCCAGCATCTCTGGGAATCCTGAGCCTTTTCTGTTTGTAAGATGTCTAAAAGTAAATCTGACTTCCCTGTCTTAGAATTAGAAATCAATTTCATTTTTCCCTACAGTTACTACCGAATGTTCCAGAGTCTTTGAGCAGAATCCCATTCCTCATTCTCAGTCCTGTTAATTCTCAGTTCCCACAAAGGAACAGCTGCCCCACTGGCAGTCTCTAGCCTTTGCCAGTCTGGTGTGGACTGCAGTACGGTCGTTTGAGTCCCATATTGGAAATCACTGAGTGACCGTTCTGATACGAGTTGTTTACACCTCTCAGTATTAGGTTGGTTTAATGTGTGTGATCTTTTTTCAACACACACAAAAATAATTGCCCCAACTGATTAACACATTTTGTATTTTATTTCCTTACAAATAGCAAAATAAAACAAAAATCTCAACTTCTTTCTCTTTCCTGTTCCCTCCTCTTTTGACTACTGTAAATGTCCTACCTTTCTTCCTCAGTCGTCACTCGTGAGCGTGGTAATTATTAGCCGTGAGCTGCCCTTCTGTTCACTTGCTCTTTTATTTGTGGTTAGCTATGTGTATACACTCGATAGTGACAGTTTTTGTGCTTTTCTTTAAATTCTGTTTCAACAAGTAGATTATTTAATTTCTATCATTATGCATCCTATTATTTTTAATATTATATACCTTATAAGCCCAGTTACCCTTTTTTTCCTATGAAAATGTAAAGTTATTAATATTTCAGACATGAAGGGACCCCAAGCATTTAAATTATGTTTTTGGGTTTATTTTGTTGCATTTCTTTTATTTAAGAGAATCCCCGGTGGGCCCAGTGTTTGGTTGAGGGCTCTAGAATGTGTGCCCCCGTCTCCCTGTGGCATCTCTGTCTTGGACAAACCGTGGCTTTATGACTGCACTGTTGGTGCATGAGAATCAGTGACAGACCCCAAGTGGGCTGCGACCAGCTGAGTGTGCTCTGCCCACTGCCTTCTGGGCTCTGGGGGGTCTACAGGGCTTTCCTCTGTTCCTTTGAAAATACCACAGATTAAAAGTCCGTGAACATAAAAGCTAATTTCATTCTTAAGGCTGAATTGGAAAAGAAACTAGAAACAGTAGCAATTCTTTGCTCTTCACACTCATAGAACAACAAAGATGGCATCAGTATGACAAAAGAGCTTCTCAACAGCCTCCTAGGCAGTGGTAATAAAGAAAGGAAGAGATTTAGAATAGGACCTAGCACTGTCAACCGCTTTCAACTAATTGTGCCTTCTGATTAAGTGAGAGACCTGTTAGGGTGACATGGACGGTTAGGGGAACATTGGCTGTTAATAACACGGTTTCCCACATTGCTTTAAGAACCCCTGTGCTGACCTCTCTGAACATGTTCTTAAAAATTTCTATTGTGAGGACATTCTTTTATTTACAATTCTGCAAAAGTTAAAAAAAAAAAAAAAGCTCAGATCCTCATAGGAGAAGGAAAATCAGTTATTGCTCTTGGAAGGTACAGAAAAGGCTGAAAGACCCAAATCTGTTCCTGGTGCCATTGCTGCAAAGATTCAGCATAAGCTGAACACTGAGAAAAGAGTCTGCTGGAGCTCAATCTACTAGGTCCTCTGCATCCTCATCCCCTGTCTTTATTAGGCGGAAATTCTCCCATGAGGGTAATATGGCCAGACTATATGGCCATGAAAAACGTGGAAGCCCAAGCACATGAACTTTCTGGTGTCTACAAACTTTGGGTGTCTACTTCCACAGTGGAGTAGCTGTGACCAGAGTTTTATACATAAGGAGACTGAAGGGCAGAAAGGTCACTTGAGTTGCCCAGCATCCCACAGCCAAGTGGCAGTGCCAAGAGGCAATGCCACTCTCTGCCTCCTACTGTTTAGTTTAGAGACTCCCCAAGCCAGCCATGGCTGCTCGGTTTCTCTACACATTTGTCAGGGTCCGTTTCATATCTAGAGTCTCAGGGAGGACTTTCTGCCCCAGTACCTGTTCTTTGCATCTCCAGGGCACAATCTGCTGCCAACTTCGGCATTTTTTGCTGAAGTTTCAAAACTGCTTCTAAATTTTTAATGTCATAAATGCTATTTCTAATCTGGTATGGAGATATCACTACAAACTACGTGTTTCTTTAAGATTTGTATGTAAAGGTTTCAGGCCAATCATTTGACCTTCTCTCCTTACTGCCACTACTGCTGTGGACATTTGTCCAGTCTCTGTCCCTCCTTACTAAATTCCCCCATTGTGACAAAAGTCTGGATTTCCCTTTTTGTTCAAAAAAAATGTTTACAGCAGATGTGTTTAAAGGATTTTTGATATGGTCAATGTCGTCCTCTCTGTATATTTTATATTCATTAGGTTTTTTAATGATTGAATGAAATTAAAAAAACAATATGAATATTTAAAAATTTCAACCCATTCTTGAATTTTTAATTTTTTATCAAAACCATATAACCTCATTACCAATTCATTATGAATTTAAAAGTGTAGTTTTCCTTCATGGAAAACAACTACATATTCTGTTAGAATATAGCAGAAGATGTTGAATTTTGGTCATTTTTGTGGTAATCCTAGACTTCATAGTGAAGAAAAATATTTGAAATTGATCTGATTCCACAAAAATTGATTTTTAGAAACCTTTTCTAAAATATTAACTACCAAGTTAACCTTCCCCAAACCTCTACCTGGATCTGATAAATTTTTAATACTGTTATACTGAGGTTTCTTATACTGTTATACTGAGGTTCTTATCAATTATTTATAATGATCTTATCAAATTTATGTGAAGTTGAAGCAAAAAGATTAATTTTTAATTAAATAAGCAAAAGGATTATATTGATTGCCTAGTATTGGCTACCCTGATTCCTCTTAGAGTTTTTATTATTTTCTTGACTCTATTTCTCCAAATATTTCTCTATTTCAGACTGTTTTCACATGTATGGTCTTGGGTTCTGCCTGCTTTATTCACTATTTCTGAGGATCAATACTCTTCAAGGAAAGCCTGAGATGCTGGTGCATTGGCACCAAATGCATTTTCCAATCATTCTTGCAGTTTTTAAACTTTGAAGTCCTCACTTAAATTTGAGTGCCTAGTCTTTGAGGACTTGGGGATGTACACACTTCAGAGAAGTGCTCTGTGGGAGCTACTCATGAGCCCCACAGAGGTCGTACCTGATCTGAAGTCAGCATCCTGGTGGACAGGGAAGGCAAAGACTTCTAGCAGGAGGGTGCAGCCCAGCAGGGAGCTGTGTTGGACCTGGTGTAGAAAGAGGTGACCAAACTAGATGATGAAGAGAGAGAGTTTGTGAAAGGCTCTAAGGACCTTTAGAGTGGTTTTTTTCCATGAGGCCTTGAAGAGCCATTAAATGAGTAACCCTTGAGTGATATTATGTGCTAATATCCCCTTGGAATGATGGTCTCACATCCATTGTTGGAAGAAGGCTCCAGGTTGACCCCACCAACACTAAAGTGCACTGATTACTAAATACTACTCTATTCAACAGCTGAGTCCTCCAAAGATGGGGGCTGGCAGAATTTCCTTGTGGCAATAGGTGAGCTCTGAGGGAGGTCTGATGATGCATGAGAGGCATTTTTTTCACAGTAGACTTTCCCTAGTTAGGGTTCAAGGAATCCTTCTGTTTATATTTATAGCAATTCTGTTAATTGCTAATAATTAACTTCCAAATTATTAAATTAATAAAAATTCAATAATATAAATAAAAATTACTACCTAGTATGTACATGATAATAATTGGAAAAGGAAGACTCCAAAGGCTAATGTCCCCATTGCTGTAAGGTCTAGTCATGCCAGTGTTTCCAATAACTCAAAGACAAAGGGTTGACTGGCATGACACAGGGACTGGCCACATCAAAAGACCCCCATAATCCATTGTTGAGTACTACCCTGGATTGGTGCGTGTGAGTAAGACCCCAGGCGACACTGTGTAAGATGGGTGGGCAGTGAGCACCTCTGAACAGTGACAGTCGAGAAGCCTTGGCTCTGGCTGTGAGATGATTTCCATCTCACATTGGAAAGGAGAAAGATTTTCCTCCATAAATACTTTAATTGAGTTAAGTACTGGAAAGTATTTTAATTCTCTTATGCCTGGAACATACCTAATTTATTTCCCATAGTGGCCATTCTGATTGTGTTGGGATCTGAAATAGTCATGCATTGCATACACCAGTGTCAGGTTGTCAACTTCATTTAAATAAACTTACTCAGTAAGCTGATTAGGTGAATTGTCTTTACCCCCACCCCCAACCTAATGAAATTCTGTATTTTAGAAATTTCAATAATTTGACCTATGGCTTCACAGTTGGAAATTTGCATCTGTTCCTTTTAGGCTTTGCAGATTCCAAAGCACTTTTACTTATTTGAACAATTTGATTCTAACAACAGCCTAGGAAATTAGGCGAGGTATTTATCAGTCCTCCATAGCAAAACTGTGAAGCCCAGGCTCAGAAAGGGGATCTGATTTTCCAACATAACATGTTCAGAAATGGATTTCCTTGGGTTCTGAAATCGATGGAGACAAGTGTGAATTCAGATTTAAAGAACATACAGTTCATGAAATGATTGATAGTCACAGATTGTACTGGTTGGTGAGGCCAACTTTACAGAGCTCAGAGACAATGGCATACTGGATTCAACAGGACCATGTGATACTGCCTGTTTCTCCCATAACTGAGCTGCTTCAGGTTGGAGGTTGTGTTCACCTCCCAAGGTGCCTGGCAGAGAGGAGACACTCTGTGAAGGTTTATTGACATTTGTGGGAAGCAAATCTTAACTACCATATACCTGGATGACATTAGCTGAATTTCTTAGTTTCTCAGTTGTTTATTGACCCACCAAATGAGATTCCATTTACCTAATCTGCAGGATAATAATGAGCCCAAGATGAAATGATATGTCTAGCACAAGAGCACATTGAAGGTCTCCAAATGTTAACTGTGATTCCATCTTTAAAAATTTATTTCATTAGTTGAATTGTAAAATAGTTAAAGAAGTCATAATGAAGCCACTTCAACAGTGATATTGGAATTGCCCACATGGAATAAAATACCTAAAAATATTGTTAGTACTAATTCTTTAGTTTTGCCATTGTACAAAATAGTTCTTTAAATCCTCTGAGTTTAATTATCAGAATGATTTCCTCCATGGCAGCAGGTGCCTTCGAGTGACACTCAGCAATGGATTACAGAGGTCTTTTGATGTGGCCAGTCCCTGTGTCATGCTAGTCACCCCTTTGTCTTTGAGTTATTGGAAACAAAGGCAATGGGGACATTAGCCTTTGGAGTCTTCCTTTTCTAATTATTGTCATGTACATACTAGGTAGTAATTTTTACTTATATTATTGAATTTTTATTAATTTAATAATTTGGAAGTTAATTATTAGCAATTAACCCAAGCTTCATCTGAAGAATAGGCTGAAAACTTCAAGCAATGTCCATGGACATCAAAGGGATCACTAGATACACACTCACATAGTATTTTGTTGAATTTAGGCAGAGACTTGTCTAGGTTTTTATTAACTGTATAAGCCAACTGTGAGTAGGACAGTGACCAAAAGAAGGTTAACCTCATTTGATATCTAAAATAGGATTTATTGCTTCAAGCTTCTCTCAGCAAGTTCTAACTGTATTATTTCCACATGAAAATTTACAATTTTGATGATAGTTTGTCCCATTAAAATTAAGATAACTCTCAGAAAATATAAATGCCATTCTTAAATATATTCAAATAACTCTATTTCCTTGGCTAGAAATGCTGCTGCCATCTTCATTTGATGTTATTGCCTCTCCTCCTAATATATCAACCTGTTCATGGTTGATAAAAATGGAGATGAGGTAGAGCAGGAACAGGTGCAGGTCATCCTCAGATGCAAAACAGCCATCTCACCATGAGCAACAGTGCTGCGTTGATTCTCCCTTCACTCCAGTGTCAGCTATCTTAGGCTCCTTTCAAAAACAGAACCAAAGGAATGCCCTCCACAGTATGTGCCTCAAGCCCTCGCACAGCTTGACAATATTTTCAGGATGCAAGAGCACTTTCAATTATGTGTCACTCCATTCTGTTATTTGTTATGGATCTCAGTTCCCATCTTAAAATGGAATTGCTTTTCCACATCACAAGGAGACTGTTGCTCCTGTACCTTCTGCAGACATAAAGCCGTCCTGGTCTCTGTTACTGCCCCACTTACCTGCAGCATGGGCCACGGCAGCATTTTCATCTGTGATGTGCTCGTCACGCAGTGGCATCCCAGTGTACACCTGCCAGCACCTGGTGGGCTTGTCCCATGCCCTCCTCTGCCTTCTCCTTCCCTTCCCATCCTGTTCTCTCCTTGTTCTGCTACATGCAGTGTGGCCTTACTGAGTGAAGTCACTTGTATTTGTTGCTGTTTACAGTCAAGAAAATGGTGTGCATGCAAACAGCAGATAAAAACTTCAGTTCTGAATTATTGTGCATTATGCAGAGCATTTTCAGGCACACAGCATCTATGATATTTATTTTGGTGTTAACTGTTCTAAATAGTTTCTACAACGGTTATCTATTTCACATTGAGTACATGAATATAAAAGTAAATACATGGTTTATTGACCTGATTTTCTGAAGGAAAAACGTTATAGATGGGCTCACAGGGAAAGAATCAAAAAGTCTAGATGCTCACACAGTATTTTGATTTAAATATCATTTTAAGAGTCTTCTGATTTAAATGACTCATAAAAATGATACTGAGTATTACCAATGAAGAGTTTAGTTTGCTTATTGGCCTAAACTGTTCTTGCTTTCTTTCCTACCCTCTCATGAACTTACACACTGAGGAATGGACTTATCAGCCATGTGTGAGATTTAAACAAGTTGATTTTCACACTTCACCTGCCATAGGGTCTGAGTCCCATACATGGTGATCGTAGCTTGGTCACCAGATGTCATAGCTTGTGGGCTAACAGGGAAACGAGTACAATGCTTTTATGTACTTTTTTTAATGTTTATATTAGTTATCACAATGGTTTTGCTTCCTAATCCTACCATTACATGAAGCCTCCCACTTTGAAAGTCCCAGACTGCGGACTGGTAAGTCCATCAGCTCTCCGTCATTATGATCATCCGTGATTTTAGTTAAACACATGATCATTGCATAGTTTTCTTTCTTAGCCCAAAGTATTTATAGTCTGTGAAAAATTATTTTGTTTAAATACATAAGTATATTCATTCACAAGCTAATCAACATTTTTTTTTTTGCCATTTTGCTTTTAAAACAAATTTAGATTCTGGAGCAGACACTCATGTAACATTGACCTTTTTTTTTTCCACTGACACTTTTTTTTTTAAGAAATCAACTTTCATTTGTGTGGTGCTGTTTTGTGTTTGTTTCTTTCCTTGTGTTTTCGCTGTCAAGGGAAGTTGTGATCCAGAGACCATTGAATTGCAGTGCAGTGGACCAGTATAGCCCTAGGAGGCTTTGTCCCTGCCCCTCAGGCATGTCTGGTCCTGATGCTGCAGGTGGCCTCTGACTTCCTGGAGCCATCTTGCTCTCCTCTCTCACGGCTGAGTCCTGACAGTCTGTCCTTGGGTTTGATAATTGGAGTGAAGTCTCTGCTGGCTCCTCCTCCTCGGGAAGTAATGCTTCAACAGTCCTGTCTGTTAGATGTCTGAAGTTTTGGCTTTTTTTTATTTTCCAGTCAGTACACAAGCTGGTTAAAGATTTAATCAGAATGAGTGAACAAGCATTTTCTAGGGATTTGCAGTTTTCACAAAAATTTTCTAATTATTCTTTAATAACAGAAACCTTTGGCACTGTTCTGTGAATACACTATAGGCTTTGCGTGAGTCATTTGGTCGTGCCCTAGGAACAAAGCAAATTTGACATTTGTGACACACCATTTCTATATGAACCTTCCCCCCCCCACAAAAAATTTACATCTTTAGGTTGTTTGTAAAATGTTGCCAAACCCATGCTGCTACTTTTAACAGAGAGAAATCTGAGTTTTGAGATTCAAATGTTCTTTTCTTACAAAGAAAAAGTACATCTATCTGCCAAGTGCATGATTGTAGGAGCTTCAGATAGAGATGTGGCTCTGTCTTGAGACCCTTTGGGTCCAGAGCAATAATGGGGTGACCTGCAAGTGGGGGTGGGGGCTAGAGGGGGGGAGTCTGGGTAGTCGCTAATGCTCATCCCTCTGCACTCCCCGCAGGAGAAAAGGTTCTGCAGGATGATGAGTTCACCTGTGACCTCTTCCGGTTCCTGCAGCTGCTTTGTGAGGGGCACAGCTCAGGTTTGTGAGCCCCCAGCCCATGAGGTGGGACTGAGGAACAGATGTGTGAAGCCAGTGACAGGAGCTGCTCTTGAACTCCATTAGACTTTAGCTTGAGTCAGCAAATAGTTCCTGAGCATCCTGGGTACAGTGGATACTGTGCCATGTGACACGTGGCTCTGCTGCTTTCAAGGTCCCAGCAGAGCTGTTTCTCTGGATCACTGTCAATCATTCTTATGTTAGAGAAGACAGGTGATGGGTGAAAAACAATTTAGATGGGATACCTTCAGAGGAACTTAGAAGTTTCTTTCTTTTGCAGCACTTTACCTTGGGAGTTCATTATATGACTTACCTAGTTTATTTCTGTTCACTGTTTAATATCTGGCTCTTCTCCAGCTCCATGGGTCCATGACGGCAGGAATTCCATTTTAGATTTAGCTTTGTTTCCCTAGCACTTTGCATATATAATTACTGAATTAAATAGCTTTTTCTTTATATCCTTAAAGATGGGATCCCCTTTTCAGTCTTGTCCAGGGCTTTAGAACTAGGATAAGGAACTGGTGTGACCAACATCTTAGACGAGAATTGAATATTGTTGTTCTGTGAGGATGCATTTTGGGGATGATCATACACTTTTTTTTTGAGAAATTTAAGTCATTTCATATTAAAATTATTAGATAAAAGTCTATTTTTAGCCAAGTGATCTTGCTGTAAACAACATTTACTTTGGTAGTTACTGGAATAACAACTTGTTTTGACTGAACTTTAATAGCATTTTCAATCTTCTGTAGATTTTCAAAATTATCTGAGAACTCAGACTGGCAACAATACAACTGTCAACATCATCATTTCTACTGTGGACTACCTGCTGAGGGTTCAGGTATGTGGCCTCCCTGTTGGTTACAAGCTACAGGACTGGCCAGGTGAAGCAAAGTGGTGGCCTTGTTAAACCCACGTGTCTTCATGTGCTTGGGTTTGTGATTCCACCTGTTCACTGAGATATGTTGCCTGTGATCACAGTCTTTTCTGCAGTTCTTAGGGTGAAGCACTCTCTGCTGTATCTCTCTCTGATCCTGGCTGCTACTTTGTTCTTCATTTCTTTCTATATACAAGCTTCTCCCCCTGGCACCCGCAGCCTTTATTTTTTAGGTTGATAGTATTTTAAATTTATTTCATTTTTCAAAGCACTTCTATACTCTGTTCCTTCTTTAATAGATAATTTGGGGAAGAATATTGAAATATTCTTACAAATAGGAAGGTCTTTCCACCTGCTATCCTGAACTTGACTTTGGTAGCCTAAGGTTGGTTCCTTTCTGCTGTCCTGCCATTTATGTTAGTTTTAAAATTCAGCTTATTACCTTAAAATATCTCTGATAGAATCATTTTTGACACTTGGGCATCTTAAACAATAACAACCCTGTAGAACTTTCTTTCCCTTCATTTTACTTATGAGAAACAGACATGGTATTTTAAAGGCAGGAAATTCAAACTTTTAGGTTTTATCCTTAACATTTTTTTTTAATACCAGGGATTGAATCCAGGGGCACTTAACCACTGATCCATATCCCCAGCCCTTTTTTGTATTTTATTTAGAGACAGGGTCTTGCTGAGTTGCTAAGTGCCTTACTAAGTTGCTGAAGTTGGCTTTGAATTTATGATCCTCCTGCCTCAGCCTCCTGAGTCACCGGATCACAGGCATGCACCACTGTGCCTAGCTAAAAGCACATTTTTTTAAAAATTTAAAGCTTAACGGGGGGGGGGAGTCCATTTTGAAGCAAAATATACCAAAAATGTTGCTGAAAACATATTATGATTTTTATAACCATGTCTCAAAACTCAAGTGCAATTCATATGGTCAAATGAATTTTTTTTAACATGTATTTAGCCAACTGAAATCCCTTTAAAATGTCAGTGTGGAAAACTCCTGTTTGGAAAGATGGGTCTTATTGGAGCTTGTTCATGGAGTTGGTGTTTCTGCCCAGCTGGTTCCCCAGGGGCAGCTTGGAGATCAGGGACATCCTGGTGTTCTTTCTGCTAACATGTCCCTGGCCTGTAGGAGAAGACAAGGGAGGACAGAAGTCTGTAACCGCCAAAATATTGTTCCATGATGTGTCTAATTTTTGAGTTCAAATTGTAAACATGTAACTTTGCTCAGTGGGTAAATATGCATTAGTTTTAAGGTATCCTTATATTCGTGAAGTTTAGGGTCATCAGAGACAGATTTTTAAAGCTAAATTTTCTGCTTCTGTCTTCTCTGCAACGTTATTTATATCAAGGGAAGTAGTTTCCACATATATGGTATGTTTAAGAAAATAATTGATTAATAGTATTTAATTCACAGATATTGTTATTTGTTACCTTACCTATTATTTAAAAATAATAGGACTGGACAGGTAGGTTTGTGATGACTTTACAATCCACCTTAATGATGTCATTTCTGTTTCCCAGGAATCAATTAGTGATTTCTATTGGTATTACTCCGGGAAAGATGTTATTGACGAACAAGGACAACGGAACTTCTCCAAAGCTATTCAAGTTGCAAAACAAGTGTTTAATACTCTTACAGAATATATCCAGGTAAATGTTTAATCATTTCTGTTATTTCAAGAAAAAAAATAAAAATGGCAAATGATTAGCATTGAATTCGATAGAAAAATGCAGTCTGCCCAAAGTGTTTTCCACATCTCCTATTGACCCCTTTCCTTGTCTCTTTAACAGTGACCAAAACTGAAATATTAGGTTGAAGTGTGTATCTATACATGGCGAAGTTGCTTTACCATTTCAAAGATGAAGATGTCATTAACTTATTAGAGGCCTGACCCATTCATTCTGTTGTATCTCAATGTATTAAGCATTCAGTAGTCTTAAGAAAGGAAAGAGGAAGCAAAGGAAGGACTAGAGGATCATTAAGCCATGTTTTGTAGTATTTCCAGTAACAGTGAGGAAGACATTTCATCAACACTAAGAAAAAACGAGAAGAGCATTAAAAAATCATATATGTGTGTTTATTTTAGATAAAATCCAAATACCAAAGAGAATATATGTCATCTTACATTTCTTTATTTTATATTCTCCCTAGATGAAACCACTAGTCTTAAGCTTAGAGTTTTAAAAACAATTTTTTGTGACCACACTTTGCTATTTCTTAGCAGCCTCAGCAGCCACTATCCTATCATTTTTGGTCTCAGGAGCCAGTATTACCTTGAGTGAGCAGTCCCCATATTCCATGCACCTGTGTAAGATAAAACAGGAAGGAGAAACTTACAGTTCACTCTTAGACCAGGCATGATCCTGTGAGGGGAAGAGAAGTTTAGTGAAACTGCATTTCTTGGGGACACTGGAAGGCAGGAACTGTGGAGTGGGGTGACTCACCCTCTCCCTCCTTTCCATGGTCAAATCCAATGAAAGTCAAGTTCAAGTTCAATATGGTCTCAGTGTGTTCATATTCCTGTTTCCTCATTTTCCTGACTTCCCTGATTGCCTTGGTTTTCTTGTCTAGAAAGATGAGGACAACAATCATGTCCTCCTTAAATATATTTGAACAATTACATTAGCAAGCAAGTAAATTTTGTATAAATGGTCAGTAGAATGGCTTGTATGTTCCAAAAAAAGCCCTGAGTGGGCATGTCTTTCCTAAAACACAGGAAACTGTGATCATACTGAAGCTAGCAGGGCTGGTGGAGTTCTCGCTGTGCACAGAGCTCCTTGCTAGGTGTTGCTGTGGAACACATTTCTAAACATGTGTCCAGAGGCATCAGGTAAAGGCTCCTGGACTATTCTGTTCATTTTAGCTTCTCTTGTTATGCCTGCTGGTATGACCCATTCCTGTAACTTAATCATTCATGAAACATGTATTTTAATAAATACGATTTAATTTTGCAATAATTTTATGTTTTCAGAAAAGTTATAAAGAGAGTCCTGAGGAGGGTTTCTGTATATGATTTCCCTAATGTTGGTATTTCACACAAATGTAGAACATTTGTCAACACCAAGAAATAAATATTGGCACGGTCTTATTAACTAAATTATATATTATTTTGATTTTACATCTTTCCATCAATGCTGTTTTTCTATTCCAGGATCCAGTCCAGTTTCCTACATCTTGCTCAGTGAGATACATTTAGGAGACCCTAGCCTTAGTGTCCTTTTTCCTGATAAATATTAATATATGAAAACAAGCTCATCGTTAGCTTCATGCTTATTTTGGACTGCCTTTTAGACTACAACATTGTACCTTGCTTTTTTATTCAAATTTTTGCTGACTATCGAACATAAGCAGAAGATTGAAAAACATTTCTGTAAAGTAATCATTTATAAAATTGCAACCTCAGTTGTAATAAAAGAGAAGAAAAAGAATCATTTGACTAAAAGGACATCATATTTCAGGGTTCCTAGAGTGAGACCAGGGATAATTAAGGAGAAAGCTTAATTTGTCTCTGCCTCAGTTCCCTCTGAAAGTGAGACTGCCCTGTCTTCCAGCACAGAACAAAAGTCTGTGTGCCACAGAGGCCGAATATCTCAGAGGCCAGCGTCCCTTTCACATTGGTTATTGGTGCTAAAGAAGCCACTGGATGGAGGTTGACCAAGTCCTAGACAGTCCTCTCCCTTTGCTCAGGTTTAGAGGTGTCAAAGGACCAAACTTAAAACCATTTAGTTTAAATCTCAATTGATTTTATTTTTAATTTTAGAATTGGGCAATCCTTCTTCCCATAAAAGAATAAATATTCTAATGAGCCAAGTGGAAGAGGTTGTATTTATAGAGAGAAGGGATCAAGAAACTAGAAACAATGAGAAGTCACTTTCCCTGTGAGGCAGGCCTGGGAGACTGCACACTAGGAAAGTGATGGGGAGCCTCTGGTTACTCCCAGTTGCCTTTCTGTGTGAGGATCCAGGCAGAAATGTGTCAGTCTGCTATGGCAGCTGGCATACCTGGGAAGTCTGGCTATTGCCTCTGGTGAAGGTCAGATAGGTAGCTCCCTTTCAGCTCAGGGACCTGGCACTTTAGCTTGTGCCTTCGCATCCACCAGAACGGGGGTTGAAGGGAGTGCTGTGCATGGGGTACACTCTCCCAGGTGTCCCCCTTGTCAGCTTTGACCCCACAATGCCTTAGGGTGGCAAGATCTATGTGCATCCTCCTCTGTGGGAGCTGAGCCTGGTGCCTTGCTCCTGTAACACAGAGGCTCCTCTGCCTCCTCCCCAGAGTTGGGGCCTCCACACCGCTGATGTGACCGAGCTCCACTCCAACATCTCCTCAGTATTTTTAGTGCAGTCAGATCTTCCCGCTCATTTCTGCAGTAAAATATGGACACATTTTGATGTGTTTTCAGATTTAAACTCACTATGAGTCCTTTGTGTAAAGGAAAGAATGAACGAATTAGAGGCTAAGAGCTATACCTTTTTTTCTTTGAAAAAAATCCATGTTATCTATTTGCATGGTTTGATGTGGATGTGTTCAAAACCTAAACTATTGTAGAATTTTTCCTTAAGAGGTAAAACCGAAAATTGTCTGCATCAAAACATTTTGCCAGCCACACACACATTCTCCACTGCTGAGGAAAGATCACTTCAGAAGTGTCAGCTCAGAGAGCAGAGCTAGTTTTGTTGAAAGGTAAACAGAGGCATATTAAAATTCACTGAGTGTATCTGAGCATTTGGCTGTTCCTGATTGCAGGTGGCTCAGCTCCACCCAAAGGCCAGAGATACTTAAAAGCAAGTGAAAAAAATTAATTAAAAAAATAATTGGTTGAAGCACAAAGTCTCTAGTTGGAGTTCAGTTGGAGTTTCTGGCTTTTAAGCCTCTAAGTGGACACACAGTTGGGGGTTGGGTTAGCTTTTGTAGGAACCCCTGGCACCAGATCCCTCAGCCAAGTGGCCTCCCAAGTTATATCAGATTCCAATTGCCTTGAATTTGAAGTTTATGAAATTAATGACCAAGTATTTATCTTTTAAAAATCTCAGTGGTTGCACCATTTTGAAACAGCTGTACAACTAGAAAAACTCTGAAGAGGACTTTTTTCCTCTGGGTGAAGGCTTTATCCAGGTTACTGCTTAGGAAGAGGAAATAATCATCTCATCTTGATTGCATTCTCATATTTTCACATAAGGTAGTGGCCACCAATTGATTTGACCCAACAACCCAATCACCTGCTCCTTACCCTCTTTCTCTAAAGAGATGCAAGGCAGAAAAAAATGAAATGATTCACTAATTTGCTTTGCCAGTGTTTCATTATTCATAGAGAAATAAGACACATAAATCCTTGAGAAACATTTTTTAGATTTATTGAACATTTCAAGAAGAACATGCTTATCTCTCATGGCACCAATATCTTCTTTATCTCTATTTTGTTTCATGTTTGAACTTTTTAGATTATATGTTAGTAACAAGCTTTGTAAACCTTGAGTTCATTTTTTCCCTATTATTTTAAAGTTGAATTTGGCAAATATGCTGCCAGGAATGACCACTGTGTCTTTGCTCCAGGGTCCTTGCACCGGGAACCAGCAGAGCCTGGCACACAGCAGGCTGTGGGACGCAGTGGTGGGTTTCCTGCACGTGTTTGCCCACATGCAGATGAAGCTATCTCAGGTAAAGGGTCTTCTCACCTGACAAACTGTGACACTGTGATCAGCAGCAAATGAAGCATGCTTTCTTATGTTGAATGTTATCTATTTCACTTGTTTAAGGTTTCAGGTGTATAAATATCATTTCTTTATATACCTTTTATTCCCTATCAAAAGATTTTTTTAAAAACTTCTTTATTCATATTTGGGAACAAAGATTATTAAGGAATTGAATGTAATGGAGAAATATAACAGCAGATTCCATGAACGCTGTGCCCTTCAGCTTCTTCATAGACAAGCTCCCTGGTGTTTACTTGTTGGAATCTTCCTCCCTCCATAGGCAACTTCGAAAGGGATCCATAGCCTGTTAAAAGGGAAGCAATTTTTATAGGTCCTAAATAAGCTAAGATAACATTCTCCCATAACCAGGAAATTTAGCTTTCTGAGAGACCAAAACAATGGCTTAAAGGATAAGTAAATAAAGAATAAACAGGCTTGCTACCATGTTTTTGTATTAATTTGGGAGTGCCATCAGCTTCTTGTTTTCTCATTTCCAAGTCTGTTCCCTTGGAGACCAAAGGATGCATGAACAGAAAAGCTCTTAATGTCAGGCTTGAGTAAACGCATTCTTCAATACTATGAATTTTGATGGCGTATCCCAAGCTCTGGCATATCTGTCAGGTGTATTTTCCAGGTGGTTAGGTAGAAAGAATACTAGAATGAGAGTCAGAACATTGCTATTCCAGAGCCCAAAGTGTCACTCATTCCCCTCATGGGTGTGGCTGGTTCCCTCTCATCTGAGGCCTCTCACCCACCCACCGGCCTGTACACAGAGGCATGTCATCACAGGTGAGCAAAGCTGGACACTGAAGTGGCCAGGAATGACCTTAGTCAGTAGTAACTGTCACAACAGGGAAGCACATGGTGTGGACTGAACTCATCTTCAGCTTGTGTGGAGCTGGATGAATGGTGTGTAGATGGAGAATAAGAGAACAAGGATGAGGCTATGTGGAGGCTTGGGGGAGGATGGTCAGTATGATGTGATGAGCCCAGCCATGCCTGCCAGCTGTTATCTAAGTTGGCATCTGTCCTCTGCTGGAGGCTTGGGGACAGAGGCCCCATCCTCAGGTGGTCTCTGGAAGGGTGCATTTTTGGACAGCTTTGCATTTTCTCTAGTAGGCATTCTAAGTAGGATCAGGGTCATCTTAGGCACACAGCCATGAGCTGTTAGGAGTCTGCTTGTCCCTGTAGCTTACCTGAGGCCAATCAGGAAGTGGACTCAGAAGCCTGGCTAGGGTTTAGTCAAGGAGAGAATGACAGTATGTGGATATTGCTAATATAGGCCAAATACGGAAATCTCATGTTCCCTTTAATTACTAATGACATATACTAAATATAGGAAACTGACATGAACCAAATTTACACACAAGGGAACTCTCATTTGATTTATTTCCATGGTTTGATGGCTTGCACAGGCAGTGTTGTGGTGGCTACTGTAGAGAGTCTCATGCCGTGCAGATATTTACCTTCGTACGCAGCAAACCCCAGGGAATTGACACCTTATACAAATTTTTTAAAAAGGAAAATGGAAAATAATAGCTTAAATAAAATGGATGAGGTGTGAGCTCATTATGTGATCTGTACTTGCAGGCACTGGATCTCAGCATAGTGATATTTAGATACAACATGTCCATGTAAAAGAAATTTTTCTGTGGTCAAACAAATAATCAAACACAAAATCCAGAAAAATTCAAAAACCAGAGAATACTGAAAACCTTCATGACGTTGTTTAGTAGGATACATGTCAGAATTTGCAATGTCAGTGTTGGTAATACCAGCGGACAGTTTTGGTTAGATTTATGTAAGATAAGATTATCTCATATGCCACTGATATGCCTATTTTATAGAATAAATAAATTTTATATGTTCATATATAACTTTGAGAAGTTAAAAGAAAATGATGTATTCTCTCTAGTGAAAAAGTTGTCAAATGTGCAGAAGCATTTGTCTCATCTGACATTGGAGCTGCACTGCGGTTCCGGTGTCCCTGTGTGCTTCTTTGACACACTCACAGTCCTTACATATACTTTGCTGTACTTTGATTCTACTTTGTTAGAATCAACAGTAAATGTGCTTGAATTCTGAAGCAAATCTCTTTGTAATAAGCTGAATACTTACATCTGGCCTTCCCTTAGTTCTGCCATGCATTGAGGTGTCTGCTATTGGCAAGCCATATCCTTTTTATGAGAATAAGTATGCTATTCTTGTTGCAGACTCTTCTCCTGTTATCTCAAAAGCAATATGTTGATATTTTCAGGATTCCAGTCAAATTGAGCTACTGAAGGAATTAATGGATCTTCAGAAGGATATGGTGGTCATGTTGCTGTCCATGTTGGAAGGTAGTTTTTATTTTCACTTTGAAGTTTCCTTTATTTCTTTAAGGATCAATATGTGTTCACTTATGGAGTCGGCATGCAGTGAAGAATAAAATAACATGAAGGTGTGATGGAGAGCTTGGGTCTGTTGTTGGCTTTATGATTTTTGTTCTCAAGTTACTTTTTTATAAAAAGGAAAATCTGTGTATGTCAGTCTGCATGTCTCCAGTGATATCCCACAGAGCAGACCTTCTAACTCTAACAGTATGTAAGGAGGAATGTTTTGACAGTTATTTTATAATAAAAGTGGGGACTTTGGACATTGGCATGAATCCAGCTGTGTAAATCTCTACTTTGAGATGATGGCATATCCCTGCTGTGGGTTCCTGAAGTCTTGGCAAGGGGTGAGGACGAGATGCTATAGGAAGACCCCATCCCGTCTCATCATCCCCACAGAGCCTTGCAGCTGTCATTTGCCCTCCTATCTCTTACCAACTTAGTTTTCTTTGCTCTTGCGTTACCTTTCTGTGTCAGGCATGATGGTGAAGAGCCTGGGCTCCAAACCTGCAGCCTAAGTTTCTGCTTCCCAACAGTGGGACCCTTGGACTAGTTAGGTTTCCATTTTTCAGTATCCTCCTCCAAAAAAAGAGAAGTAATGTTTGACTGATGTGAGACTTTAGTGAAATCACTTAAACAGAACCAAAGCAACTAAGAAATGCTTGGTGTTGTGTTATCTCTTGTCCTTCCTTAATTCCTTCTTATGCATTCTCGGTGTGTCTCCCTCTCTCTGTCTGCCAGGCATGGAACAACTCCACTTTGGTAAGCTAAGGAAGTTGTCCAGCCTGTGCTAGGAGTTCAAAGATGCAGCATTTCTTAAAACCTCATGATTGGCAGCAGCAGGAGCAGTTTTTCACTCTCCAAACACAGGCTCCATTCATGACCTAATTTTGGTTTAAAATACTAGTAAGTGAAGCAGCAGCAATAAATGGAAACTAATCTCTCATAATGTGCCGATACTGGCTTGGTGCTTACCTAATCCTAACGACAGGCCTAAGAGTTTGATAGTATTCTACCCAGGCTTTACCAAGGAGGACACAAAGGTGCCAAGAGGCTAGCTCTCTGGGCTTGTGGAGCCTGGAACTGTTCCATCACTGTGGCTCTAGGTCTTAGCCGTCCCTTGTTCACTGCTGCACAGATAGACTACACAGACCTCTCCCCAGGCACGTTTTCTCCCACTTGTGTTTTGTCATATGACATGTAACACATTCTGTCCAAGGGATGAAAGTAGACTGTGATTCTATAATGCAGAATAGTATCTAATTTTCTCAAGGTTATCAGTAACCTGCTCTTTTCTAAATATAAGCACTGTGGACCATGAAGAGTGGGAGGAAAGTATTACCATTGAGAATCAGAAAGGGCATAGAATTTGCCATCAGAGGATCCAAAGTCCTGACACTAAGTCTTATGGTCATGTCATAAAGGGCACATTAATTTGGCCTTGCTAAACCTCAGTTACCTCATCTGTAGAATCAGGATTAGTGAAAAGTTCCTTCCTTACAGAAAGAAGAGCATCCAATCAGACATTGTCTTTGATAGTGATTTTCAACCCTAAAGGACTGAATCAATGTTCATTTTTATTATTAATACGAGACTATATTTCAGTTTGGGGCTGTTTGGTTCATTTTTTTAGTCTTACGCCTGTTTATTTGATTAATTTGAGGAGGCAAAGTCAACTGTTATTAAACTATTTTAGGTATTTCCCTAATTACTTTGTGAATGTGGTTTTATGTGTGTGCAAGAATAATCTTCAATCATTTACTGAGACTCATCCACTGGGAGATGATCGGAGACTCCCTCCCTCCAGGTGTTATAACTATGTTGCCATTCCCTCTACAGGTACATGTTTTGTCAAGAATGTTCATTTTGCAAACACAATTGCTTTCCCACCAGGTAACGTGGTGAATGGGACCATCGGCAAGCAGATGGTGGACATGCTGGTGGAATCTTCTAACAACGTGGAGATGATTCTCAAGTTTTTTGACATGTTTCTCAAACTGAAGGACTTGACATCCTCGGACACATTTAAGGAGTACGACCCTGATGGTAAAGGTGTCATTTCCAAGAGGGACTTCCACAAAGCTATGGAGAGCCACAAGCACTACACCCAGTCGGAAACGGAGTTTCTTCTGTCTTGCGCAGAGACTGATGAAAACGAGACGCTGGATTACGAGGAGTTTGTCAAACGGTTCCACGAGCCGGCCAAGGACATTGGCTTCAATGTCGCCGTCCTCCTGACCAACCTCTCTGAGCACATGCCCAACGACACGCGGCTGCAGACCTTCCTGGAGCTGGCAGAAAGCGTGCTCAACTACTTCCAGCCCTTCCTGGGCCGCATCGAGATCATGGGCAGTGCCAAGCGCATCGAGAGGGTGTACTTCGAGATCAGCGAGTCGAGCCGCACCCAGTGGGAGAAGCCGCAGGTCAAGGAGTCCAAGAGGCAGTTCATATTCGACGTGGTCAACGAGGGAGGGGAAAAGGAGAAGATGGAGCTGTTCGTCAACTTCTGTGAGGACACCATCTTCGAGATGCAGCTGGCAGCCCAGATCTCCGAGTCGGACCTGAATGAGCGCTCAGCCAATAAGGAGGACAGTGAGAAGGACAGGCCAGAGGAGCAGGGCCCCCGAATGGGCTTCTTTTCCATCCTGACGGTCAGGTCGGCCCTGTTGGCGCTCAGATACAATGTGCTGAGCCTGATGCGCATGCTCAGCCTCAAGAGCCTCAAGAAGCAGATGAAGAAGGTGAAGAAGATGACGGTGAGGGACATGGTCACTGCTTTCTTCTCCTCCTACTGCAGTGTCTTCCTGACACTGCTGCACTTCGTGGCCAGCGTCTGCAGAGGCTTCTTCCGCATCGTCTGTAGCCTGCTGCTCGGAGGAAGCCTCGTGGAAGGGGCCAAAAAAATCAAAGTCGCAGAGCTTCTGGCCAACATGCCGGACCCTACTCAGGACGAGGTGCGAGGAGACGGAGAGGAGGGGGAGAGGAAGCCTCTGGAGGCCGCCCTGCCCTCTGAGGATCTGACAGACTTGAAGGAGCTGACGGAGGAAAGCGACCTTCTCTCAGACATCTTTGGCCTGGATCTGAAGCGAGAAGGAGGGCAGTACAAGCTCATTCCCCACAACCCCAATGCCGGCCTCGGGGACCTGTTGAGCAGCCCCGTCCCCCTCCCTGAGGTGCAAGAGAAGTTTCAGGTACTTTATTTCTGTGTTCTGGCCACTCTTTCTCTGACCTCAGGTGGGTACCACAAATGACCCTTATACCAGGTTTCCTGCTGGAGATAGAGCCGAGTTGAACACCTGACTTGAATCTCCCAGGAAGAAATGGCGTTTTGGTAGCAGAGCTAGCCCCTTTAAGATTCCTTACAAATTATTTTAATCCCCTTTAATCATTAAGGTTGAGTGTATACCCTGGTGACATTAGTCCATTGAGCCCCCCGTCTGTCCAGGACTTCAACAGCACTGAGTCTGACAATATTGGGGTCATAGGAAGGTGTTGCTTTCAAATGGCCTTCAGCATTGTCTTCACAGAGATGGAACTAACATGCATTAAGTGACTAGAAAGTAATGACTGTTAAATAGAGTAGTCAGGGGGCTGTATAGGTTGCATATGTTAAATAATGCACACACCAGAGTGGCTTAAAGTAGATTGGTGATAATTAAGAGGTGGGGATTAATGGGCACAATGGCACACACATACAATCCCAGTGGCTCGAAAGGCTGTGACAGGAGGATCACAAGTTCAAAGTCAGCCTCAGCAATGGTGAAGTGCTAAGCAATTCAGTGAGATCCTGTCTCTAAATAAAATACAAAATAGGGCTAGGGATGGCTCAGTGGTCAAGTGCCTTGAGTTCAATCCCTGGTACCTTCCTGCCTCCACATAAAAAGAGGTGGGGATTATATTGGTCTTGAAGAATGAGTAAGATTTGAGTAGATGGATAAGGTAAAAAGAATATTTCTAGCTGGGTGCAGTGGCATATGCTGGTAATCCCAGTGACTGGGGAGGCTAAGTCGGGAGGATCTCAAGTTCAGGCTAGCCTTAGCAACTTAGCAAGGCCCTAAACAACCTAGCAAGACCCTGTCTCAAAAACATAAAAAGGGCTGGGGATGTGGCTCAGTAATATGGTACCTTTGGATTCAAAATACACACACACACACACACACACACACACACACACACAAACACACAATATTTCTGAAATGAGAAAAGAGAGTAGAAGGAAGCCCAGAAAGTTCATACTGTGTGCAGAGGGAGAAGTGTGTAAACCACCAGAATACAAGGCATGTGTGGACCTGTTATCTCAGTGTAAGGAAGAGGGTGTTCTGTGTTGGATATCATTTGGATGTGGTCACCTGGCCCCAAGCCCCATAACTGTATTCACAGGTGATGTTCAATCCTGCTTTTCTTTTCTCAATTGACTTATTCTAGGAACAGAAGGCAAAAGAAGAAGAAAAGGAAGAGAAGGAAGAGACCAAATCCGAACCTGAAAAGGCCGAGTATGTATAGTCCCTGTATGTTCCTTTGTTTCAGAAAGTCTCTTTCTTATCCTGCCTGTATGGGAGCTGTCCTGGAGAATCTGACCCTGCAGAGGAGCTGTGTGACCAAATCTACTGTCTCAGCCGTGAGGCTTTGACTGTGAGGACTTGGGTTCTTTGCAGGCATCAGGGTAGAGCCTAGCAGGATTGCTATTCTATCTTCCTCTGCTCCATGAGGATTCCATTTATGTGATTCTCTCTCAGCACTAGGCTCTAGAGAGTCTGTGAACACTTCCTCCGTGACTGGTTGATTAATTTCAGTCTTTAAGCTCACACATGTCTTTCTGTTCTTTTAGAGAAGGGAGGAAATGAACATTCCAGATGGGTTTCATTGAATCCTGTGGAGGGTAATCCTCAGCAGATAGTCCCAGGTCCACAGCATGAGACACACCCTGGGGAATTTGTTAAGAACACGGGTTCCTGGGCCTCACCCTAGAGACTGACTCCCAGGGCTGGTGTGGAGCCTTGGAACCTGCATTTTCAGCAACACCTGGCACTGGGAGCACACCTATGAATGCAGCACCAGGAAACAAACAGCTGGATGCAGCAGTGAGGTGCACAGCCCCCTCTTAACACTGGCTGTGTGTCAGCAGTCAAAGCCTCCAGCTGTCCTCAACTTCCTGTCATCTCCTGTGTGCAATTTGATAAATGTGGGAAAGAATTATAGTTTTTAGACACCTATATTGCCACTGTTCTCACATTAGCATCTTATTTTTCTTCTCTCTCTTGTTATTTTCTTTGGACCCTTCTTATTGCATATTCTCCATAGTTAACACTCTTCATTGTTGTGGATCTGACATTGTTGGATTGGCTGGATAGATGGACTCCTAACTGACTGCCAGAGTGAAATGTGGGCCTGTGTAACCACATGGCAGGCATTTCCATGGGAGCTCTTTACCTAATGTTAAGCTGCTGTTAGGTGTGCCTCATGCGCATCAAGGAGAGCTTACACACACATGCGTGTATCAAGTACTGTGGTTCACTTTCAGGAAGGATTGATATCATTGTAGCTAGAAAATGTTTAAGTCCTAAAATTTCAGTCCTTCTAATTCCATTATTGTCTGAAATTATATAATCGTATATGAACAATTTATATTAAAATTAATATATTTTACTTAATAAAATTAGTTAAATAAAATTAAAATAGTATATCAGTACATTGATATACTTTATACATGTGAACAACCAAATGCACAGACCTCTGATTTTAATTTTTAAAGACTAAATGAAAAAAGTTGAACATTAAAATCATAATTTAAAAATAAGCTACATTGGAAGTAAAAGCAAAAAGAAGTTTTAATTTGTTACTCTATTTTTCAATTAAATGTCTTTATTGCACCATGAGAATCTGCTATATATGGATATGAAGACCCTTTAAGCCTGAAAAAAATGTCCTCTAGATTTGAACTTCACCAAATTATTTGTATGGGGGCCTGTGATCAGCAGGAAATCCTGCCCTGACTCTAAACCCCAAAATATTATCCTTCATTGAAAGAGAAATTAGTTTTCAGAAGTGATCCTGTGATCTTAAGTATCTGCTCACTTGTGTATTGTTTTAGGCTACCAGTTTAGTCCTTTTCTGAATAGCTTCTCTTTCACTCACCTGTTCTCACAGGGGAGAAGATGGAGAGAAAGAGGAGAAAACCAAAGAAGAAAAGGGCAAACAGAAGCTCAGGCAGCTTCACACACATAGATACGGAGAACCCGAAGTTCCCGAGTCAGCATTCTGGAAGAAGATCATAGCCTATCAACAGAAGCTTCTAGTAAGATGTGAAGAATGGATATTTTTTAACTGATTTATTATGAGAACTTACTAGTTCGGGTTCAGTTAGTATTCACTGACCTTCCTTGGGGTTTTGTCAGGGAATAACCGTTCAGTCCTGCAAATACAGTCTCCCCACTATCTGCAGAGCTTGCTTGCAGGACCCCCATCCCTATAGCTGCTTAAGTCCTCTGTGTGACAGGATGCAGTACGTGCTCTTAGCCTGTGCACATTCTCCTGTAGACTTTAAAGCATCTCTAGACTACTTATAATTCTTAACACAATGTAAAGCCTATGGGAAAGTTTTATATTATATTGTTATGTTAGAAAATGTCTGTACATGTTTAACACAGAGGCAACTTTTTCCTAAATATTTTTTGTTCATGATTGGTTGAATTCATGAAACCACATGAATGACTGACTGTGTGTTTTATCTGGCCATTTTATGTGTTTATTTTTTGCAGTGAATGCCTTTGGTCCACTGTTCCCTGTTAAGCCTATAACCCCCATTGATATTCACACCACTAGAGACCCTCTGGCTTGGTGACCACAGCACAGTGTTCTCAGCGTCTTCCCACCAAGACTCAATCGAGGGCAGCCAGTACATAGATTCTGAGGCCCTATCATTGATTAGGGCCTCCTAAGTTATAAGTAATTCCAAGTGAAGTTCCAGAACTGGACTAGTCCATATTTCTATAAAAATCACAATTTTATTTAAAATTATAAATCTAATTATAAAATTAAAAATCTAATTATAAAAATATTAATGAGCTTTCCATTGAGGATAACCCTAAATTATTCTTTGAATACAACAAATAAAATAAAAATGGAGAAGACAGTTCTTTATGTAGGGACATACACATATTGAAGAAGTAGTCTCCAACTTATACTTTTCCCATACTGTTTATTACAAAGTTCATTTGAACACAGATGTTTTCTAGATAACTCTGGATAATTAATTGTTGATACACTATTGTGGTTGCCATTGCAGCAGGTATAGCTCTATTATAGATGGTTTAGAGGTGGAATGGGCTCCACTGGACCCTACGGGAGGCTGGGACGATGTTTAACTGCACTGAATAAACCAGGCAGTTGAGGTATTCCTTCTCTCTTTCTGACTCAGGAGTCACGTATTCTCTTGTCTCTGTACAGCTTCTCTGTTTTCCTGATCTCTTTTCAGTTGATGTTCTTGCTCAGCAGTCTGCATGCATAAGACTAAACACAGCCACATGAGGCCACCATAGGTCCCCTCTCTTCCGAGTCTTTGTGACCATCCTGCTCAGACAGCCAGCATTAGCTAACTCAGTCTCTGTGACCTAGTTCCACCTTCTAAGGAGAACCAGTGTACCTGGCCCAGTTTGATGGCCAATCATGGTCCACTACACTGTGACAGTAAAGATGGTGTTCCTGTGGGGAACTGACCCCAACAGAGATGGAGTGCACACACAGGGGATTTTGAGAGGTGTGATTACTTTGCTCTGGCTTCATGCTGCCCCTGGCGTAGCTGCATATGGCTCCCACTTAATATTAAACAAATACTTGACTTCCACATAGCCTATTCCCTTAAACTCGTATCTTCTAGGTTGTATTGTTTGTTTTCCAAATCAGTAAGGCTTACCAACCTTTTTCTTAGTTGCTCAGGTCCCCAAATTCAGAAGATGTCATCTTCAAGTCTCTCTCACTTCATGCACAGTCTTCCTCCCAAATACATCCAGAACCTGCCCAGTTCTTTCCATGACCACGGCCACCACCAAAGTGAAGCCACCTCATCAATATCACTCTTTCTGCAGTCCTATGAGAACTTCCTAACTGCTCCCCTTGCTTCAACCCCTTCCCCATTACTACCTATCATCCTCAGCATCTGGAGTGATTCTAAGCACAACAGGATTGCACAAAGACTTCCTTGAAGCCCCTCATGGCTTCTTATCCCATATGGAATAAAATAGTCATTGTAATATAGTAACATTAGATTACTCAGGAACAATAATAAGGCTCCTACTGGTAATCTTATCATTTTAATAACTATATATATTGTATATAATAGAATTTAAGCTGGACATAATAGTGTATTCCTTAATTCCAGCAACTAGGGAGCCTGAAGTAGGATTGCAAGTTGAAACCAGTCTCAGTAAGGTAGGGAGGCCCTAAGCAACTCACCAAGACCCTGTCTCAAAATTTAAAAAATAATACAAAGGGCTGGAAGTGTTGTTCAGTGGTAAGCACCCCTGGGTTCAATCCCTGGTACCAATAAATAAATAAACAAACAAACAAAATCAACAACTGTCTTTCCTTATATTATAATTGTGATCCTCAAAGTACACTTATGAAGCAGCTTTTTCTATTATTCTTAACATCACAGATGAGAAAACTCTTGCCCTGGCAAGGTTTAAGTTACTGGTCCACATTCCAGTGGTATGGACAGGCTTCATATCCAGGCATTGTGGTCCCAGGGTCATGGATTGGTTCAGATGTCATGAACCACTGCATTGTAAACTTATATCAGTAAGTAGCCTTCAGTACCCAGACTCCTGCTGGCCTGACCCTGTATACTCCTGCCTCCATCTGGTCTGTTCTCACATGTGTCCTTCACACTGTTCCCCAAACCCACCACCACGGCCCTTCACTCGCAGCCACCCTTGCTGCTCCTGTCTCTGACACATTCTTCCTCATGTGCATTCAGGGCTGTGCTCCAGGTGCCTCCTGAGATAAACTCTTCCTGACCAACTGTCCCAAATCCCATCCCCTCCCTAATCCCTTAACTGGATATATTTTTTCTCATAGCATTTAGTATTCCCTGACACTGTCTTATTTGGCATTGTGCTCCTTCATTCTCTCCATGGTGACAATACTCACTCCTACACTGTGTTTCTACAGCACCAAGAATGGTATTCAACCCATAGTGTTGGTCTAGGGCAAATGAAGGAAGGCTTTCTGTAAATTGTGTGCAGGTTTGGATTAAATGGGCGAATACATTATTTAAGCGGTCTGTAGATTCCAGGTCTCTCGATTCAGTGACATTTTATAACTTTTTCACCCTCAGAACTATTTTGCACGCAACTTCTACAACATGAGAATGCTGGCCTTGTTTGTCGCGTTTGCCATCAATTTTATCTTGCTCTTTTACAAGGTAAGCACGATTGGGGTTTTAATGACCAATATGAGAGCACAACCAGACCGAATGAGTGTACAAATTTCACAGGTCCACTAGTGCGCATACCTAATCCTGTTCCAAATGAGAGAGGAAAGGGAGCCAAGGCCCATCACTGTGCCCAGGAAGGCAGCATAGATTTGTGCCTTGGAGTAGAGAAGTGTCTCAGTGGGCTTCAACTGAAACAGCATTTGATTTAGCAGGAGGTTTATACCTGGGGGTCCCAGGGTCATTTGGGTGAATACCTACTTATTACTGCAGCTGGCTGTGGCATGAACTGTGTTAAAGCAAATTATTTTGGGTAATTGTGAAATCGGACATCTAATTATTTTCTATTTGCATTGGAGCCTTATAGCTCTTGGTTGGGTTAGAATGGACTTCATATTTGTTGCTTGCCTTTGGTGTTGGAAAGCTCTCCTGTTAGTCTTTGCTCTTAGTCTTTCTGCTGTGCAGTGTCTATACATCCACTGTTTGCTAGCCAGGCTGTGTCTGCCTTGGGTCTGGCTGGCAAGGCCTCCTTGCATGCAACAGACTCACTCTGTGTACTTGGTTCGAATCAGGTCTCCACTTCCTCTGTGGCTGAAGGGAAGGAGCTGCCCACTCGAAGCTCCAGTGAAAATGCAAAAGTCACCACCAGCCTGGACAGCAGCTCACACAGGATCACCGCAGTCCACTACGTGCTGGAGGAGAGCAGCGGCTACATGGAGCCCACACTGCGCATCCTCGCCATTCTCCACACCGTCATCTCTTTCTTCTGTATCATTGGATATTACTGCCTGAAGGTAACACAGCAAGGCACAGGACCCGGGTGTGTGCCTGTCTGTGTGTGCATGTTGGAGACTGGACTTCTGCAGAAGCCATTTCTGAGGTGGAGATTACGAAGTTCATTTGGGAATGTGATGGGCATCCTCACCTGTGGGCAGGGCAAGACAGGATGGGGCTGAGAGGAAGGTTGGTCTGTGGTACAGACATGGCCAGGTGAAGCCATGGGAATCCATTTCTGAGACTAGGATGCTCCTGCATGGGTGTCTGGGCCTGGGGCTTGGGAGCCTGGTCTTTCTGTATCTGCACTGAGCAGCCGTTGGATGCATGCTGTCTGGAAAGGGCATATCTTCTTGCAGCTTTCTTTTACCTGTTAAGAATTGCTCATGTGACGGACAGTTTTACCTACTGCAGGAGCCCATACAAATAAGCCCACCCACCCACTGTATCTCATGGTAGGCCTCCAATTCATTAGAACTCTTGCAAATATCCATGAGACATTTTCATTGTTCTGTTACTAGATAAATATCATTTGTTATCCTTGGCAAAAATGCTTTTTTGTGTCACTTCACTTAGAAAATAACATGGCTTTATCCCTAAAGCTTTGCCAAGGGAGTAATGAGATGTGGTCAATAGATTTCAAGGTAGTCTTTGAGTGTTCAGGGCTACCTGTTCACAGCTGGTCATCTTTTCTCGGCGAGACCCATGTTACTACAGTGCCTTTATTTCACTGTCCTTTGCCACTGGTTATACTGCTTCCAGAAGACTTTTGAAAAACCAGGGCTCAGGATAACAGATTAGAGTATAGAGAATCTGTTCAGTAAATTGTCTTTCCTTTTTCCCCCTTGTTGTATGGAGCTGCGTATTCTTTGAGTACTTCCAGAACATCTGCATTACTCCTGTATCTGTGCCTGCATAAGGTTTGTCCACAGGAGACTCTCAGTACATCCTGGATACATCTTGAAAAATTGACAAAAGATTTTTGCTGATGCTGAAATTAACATTTATCTCTACATAGCATGTAGACATGTTGAGTGTGGAATTATTAAAGAGATTTATTATAAAACTCTGCAATTGTCAACATACATTTTAGAACATTAATATGGTTGTTTAATTCTTTTGCATTCATTCACATTGATATATATATATATATGAAAATTTTTGCCTAGTCACCTTTTTCTCTTTAGACTGGTGCCATCAGTACAAGTACCTATGAACCCCTGTGTACTTAAAACACATGAATCTTTAAAATATCTATTCTATCTTGTTTTTCCCAAAACTTTCTAGATGTTTCTTTGTACCTAAAAGTAACTGATTCATTTTTATTCCATTTTTACCTTCCTGAAAGTCCATGGGAAATATTTTTTTCCAAAAGCTGTTTTGCAAAGATAGCGACCACAGGAGATGCCAGTAAATCTAAGCTAATTTTACCATGTTTATTTTTTCCTCTGTAGGTCCCATTAGTTATTTTTAAACGAGAAAAGGAAGTAGCACGAAAATTGGAATTTGATGGGCTTTATATTACAGAGCAGCCTTCAGAAGATGACATTAAAGGCCAGTGGGATAGACTTGTAATCAACACACAGTAAGTAAAGAATTTTAAGAGACAGCTCTGTGCTTAGAAAATTTAAGACATAAAAACATTTTCCTGCAGTTCATTTAGATTTGTTAAAAGTTTAGCACAAGTGAATGGTAGTTATATTTCAGCCAAGAAAATCAAAAGTAAGTGCATCAGCCTCCCAATGAATGCCTTCTGTGTTCCCAGTTCTTAATCAGAAAGAGCTCTGAGGCTATTTCTGCAGCACTGATGGGACTTCACATCCATTACCTGGTATCCAGGGAAGTGTGTGGTAGGTAGGTATAACCTACAGTGCAGAGCTATCTCACCTAAAAGCTGAGAAGCAGAAAATGTGCATTAAGAAAAGAGGAGTCTCACTGAAGCACAAACACTAAATTTCACACTTTTACTATATCTGAGTTATAAACTTTCCGTTGGTACCACCAGGGAGCTTTAGATAAACCCGGCTCGGTGTTATGAGAAGATGTAAAATGTGAGACAGAAGAACAAGGACCTCTCTATTCATCGGTTATTTAGTCTTATGAAGTAAACCCAAATGACTAGTGGCTGCTTGAGGTATATATCCACTGCAGTGTGATTTTTCCACCAAAAAAAAGTATTAGTAACAATACTTTTTGAGTAGTTCATACTCAAGAGTGAAATACCTTATTTATTAAGACTAGTTTTGCTTATTGTTCCAGAGCTACAATGTGCAGTAGGTTCTGAATTTTACTGTGGGAATGATTTATTTGTGTATTTTATGTGCTTGCTCTGAATGTTAAATGTTTTCTTTAGCAAATCTGCCCCTTAATACTAACTCTGATCGTTGGTCCCTTTTAGTAAACTCTGTCAGTCAAGGTGCAGTGCCAAAGTCAGAGTTGAGTGTTGGGCTTAATGTTTCTTTGAGGGTAACTGGTAGGAAAAACACCTTTTTACTTCATAGGACGAAACAATGACTGCTTTGATCCAAATGCTTTGATTTTTAAAGAGAACTGATAATAGTCAATGTATTTATATGTTATAAACAAATGATAAATATATTACTTATTAATAAATATGATTATATTATCCTCTGTTAACATATCAACCCATAATCTTTTTAATGTGATTTGTCTGTGCATATGCTTATATTAATTGAGTATATATTAATACTCAAAATTATATTGACAGTTCTGGTGATAAAGAAAATAAAATGGTAACCTAGATCATTATACTTTCATGTGCAAGAATTATGTTTACATATTGTTCATTTCAAATGATATGCTATTATTTATTGTTTAAAATGTATTTAACTTTTATGATTTTGTGTTTTTTAGGTCATTTCCCAACAACTACTGGGATAAATTTGTTAAAAGAAAGGTAATACTCTTTAGAAAGAATACATTCTCTGCTTTTTTATAAGTGCAAATCAGATTTGAATTTGATGTTGTTTATATTTAGAATGAGATATTGAGGTGAGTTATATCTGCCTGGTAATATTATTTCAAAGTGGCATTCGAATGGAATATGAACTTTTAGAATAGCACATGAGAAATATTGACTCTGCAGCTCCAATATAAATAGACTTTGCTTCATTCACTCATCCCTAGACTCAGCTGAATCAATGTGTAAACTCCATAATAGTACCAAGATTTGGTAAGAATTTTCTCTGAAATTGTCTGGAAGAGCTAAGTTGACTAGGAACTTTTTTTTCCACTCTTGTGGACTTTTTTTTTTTTAGAGTGGACTTTTTTTTTTTTAAATTATTTGTTATACATGATGACAGAATGCAGTTCTCATATAGAGTACAATTTTTCAAGACGCTGATTGTAACTAAAGTATTTTCACACAATTTGTGTCTTATACGTATACTTAGGGTAATGATGTCTAACTCATTCCACTATCATTCCTAGCCCCTTGCCTCCTCTCTTCCCTTCCCTCCCCTTTGCCCTATCTAGAGTTCCTCCATCCACCCAGGTCCGATGAGCCAGTTCTTAGCACTGTGAGGATAATGCAAACCAAGTTGTTTTAATTATCCAAATGGCACACATTCTTAGACTTCTTAGCTACCATTGTTCTTTTATGTATTCATTCAGTTCATTGTACCCATTTAGAAAAGTCCATTTTTAAATTTCTGCAACCCTTCCTTTTCATTTCTATTTCTTTCTCCATCTGCTCTAAGTGCTCCCCTTGTTCCCAATCCCCTTCCCTCTTCTTGCTTTGTCTGCTTCTCCTGCACACCTCTTCCCCTGCTTCTTGGCTCCTCTTTGCCTCTTTGTTCCCATGAGGTCTCCTCTTGCCTTTCTTTCATGACGTTCCCCATTCCCTCCCTCTTCACTGTTGTGTGGGACTCTTGTGCATGGCACACAAACTTCAGGCTGGGGTACTCTATTACATACAGAGCTGGGCATCCTGGGCTCTAGGGTGAGCTGTGAGTCATGTCCAAGTGCAAATCTCAAAACAAAGAATGGGAAAGCCAGGCAGTGGTGGTGCAGGAGACATGGCCCAGAAGCTGAGGGAATGTTGGGTAAATGCACACAGCATCTGTCCTAGGTGAGCATTTACACAGGAGAGGAGAGCAGAGGGACAGTGACAAGCTTGCAGGTCTGCGAGTTACTGAAGGATGGGTGCATCAGGACACTGAGGGGGGCCAGATGGGAAGGGGACTTTGGTTAGAGTGGAGTGGCTGAAATGGAGACTATGATGTCCATTCTTGTGGCATCAGGGGTCCATGCAGAGGACCTTTGGCTGGGAGTAAGGCTCTGTCTGGATGCTGCTGGCCCCATCCCTTGCTAAGGTTAGCAGCCTCAGGCACATTATGTTAAGTTTGGTAAGAAAGTTTCTTTATCTGCAAAATAGGATGCTGAAAATAAGCATTTTTCATAATATAAAGTATAAAACTTATTGTGACAGTTGCATGGAATGAGTCAAATTCCTGCCACAAAGTATGAATTTGAAGATTGCTTTCCTTATATTACCTTCTGCTGACCCTTTTTCTCTAGTCCACCATCTTCCTTTGGTGGGCCTCCTTCTCTGGAACGAGACCTCTTGTTCCTCAGTTATTACTTACAATGCTCTAGGTTTGCTTAGATCTTTAGCAAAGTGGTCAGAAAGAGGGCTGTAGACTAGGTATTTGTGTGGTCTTCAAAAGATGGAAAATACAGAGGAAGTGTAAAAATAATGAAATATTTACACACACACACACACACACACAGTGGTGTTACTTAATGGTTTTAGCCAATAAAGTGCTTCTTCTCTGACTCTAGGTTATGGATAAATATGGCGAGTTCTATGGTCGAGACAGGATCAGTGAATTACTAGGAATGGACAAGGCTGCATTGGACTTCAGTGATGCCAGAGAGAAGAAGAAGCCAAAGAAAGACAGCTCCTTGTCAGCCGTGTGAGTGCAGCTTCTGCTCTGTCTGCAGGTGGGAGGTTGTCAGGAGGAGCATGGTGCCTTGGCCTCCGCTGACCCCTTCCCTCAGCCTCAGAAGAGCAGGCCGAGGAGGAGAACAGGGTGCACGTGGGGTCCACTTTCATGCTCCTGCTATGTGGAGCTCTGGAATGATTGGATATTTTTCTATTAAATTTTTTAAAAATATTTTTTAGCTGTAGGTGGACACACAACTTTATTTATCTTTTATGTGGTGCAGAGGATTGAACCCAGGGCCTCACACATGCTAGGGGAGCGCTCTACCACTGAGCCACAACCACAGCCCTTCTATTAAAGTTTGAAAATGCCTTTTTTTCTTATTTGGAAAAACAGAATATTCAAGTTCTTAACTTAAATTGTTTTTTTCTAACGTTAATTGCCCTTTAAGTCAAACATATGCAAAAGCATGTTTATCTGTTTTCTGATGTTTATTTGAAAATTAGTTGATTATCCTGATTTAAAAACAGAGACTACGTAGAAACAGAGACTATTTTAAATTTTTATTTAAAAATTTCAAAGTTCATATCTTTTTATTGTAATTATTGTATCTTTTAAAATAGCAAAGCATTAGTATGCCAAAAACACAACATTATCATACTATTATTTGGAAATCTTACTTCAAAATGAAGGATTATTTGTGTAGTATTCTCATGGAATAATAATATAACTAGAAGTTATATGCCAGTTGAATTGAATTTCCCCAACTGAATCAATCAATCAATCTCTCTCATTCTCACTCACACACAAATATATACGTATATCTATTTATTTAGCAAATTTATCAACTGAATTTCTGGAATGGAAGCAAAGCACAAATGCTTTTAAAATGTCATCTCTTATTGTCTCCATTTAACAATATTTTTTGGGAAAAGCCACATCAATTGTTTGTGTGTATGTGTGTATGTGTATGCACAGGAGCTTTGGTTGAACCCAGGGCTCCGCCACTAAGCCACGCCCTAGCCCAGCCTTCCTTTTGTGTGTATTTATGGTATCAGTCAATTATGGAAGTGATGAATGCTTTGAAAACAAATATTTATGGTTCTGTAAGGAAATATTATTTTGTCTCAGATAAATATTTCAGCTAGCATTAAAAAGATTTTGCCTGACCTAGTTCATTGGTTGTGTGCTTTTTATGTCAAAAAAAAAAAAAAGTGACCTCAGTTGAAAAGTGATTAGACAAGCAACCAAGTATCAGAAACTGTGTACTTAGATCCAGAATATTAGATAGGTTTTTTAGGAGGACAAATGTGGCATTTAAAGACATGTCACTGTATATAAAATGAAAGACAGGCCCTTGGGAACTGAGGCCTTTGTGTTAGATTGTCATCTACAGCAAGGCTCCACCTTCTAGCTGTAGTTTACTGTGAACCGAGGCCTGTGCCCAGGGAAGGCCTAGCCTGCTTGGCCTGGGTCAGCTTTGGTGCCTCCCTAGGGTAGGGTCACATGGCTGCTAGAGTTAGTACAAAAGGGGGATCCTGCGCCACAGTGGGGAGAGGTGCTTAGTGATAGTGGCAGTAACTTGCCATCAGTGTGACAGGGGTGGGGGGAAATACCAACCAGAAAAGAATTTTTAAATGAAGTCAGAAATACTATGCAAAATTCAGACATCCTGATAGAAACCTTGATTTTGCTTTAGATGGCTTTCATGGAAAAAATAACTGTTCTCCTCCAGATTTCCCCATTGTTTTTGTTCCAGCTCTTCTTTTTTTTTATTTAAGAGAAATTATTATTATATGGAAACCTATTGTGAATATTTATAGAACATTTTTTTAAAATATTTTTTTAGTTGCAGTTGGACACAGTATCTTTTAAATACTTTTTAAAAAGGCTCCTGTAATAATAAAATTAACTGTGATTCAAAGATAACTTTATTTCCTTTAAAAAATATGCTGGGCTAAGGTAAATAAAACCTTCACTCTTAAAAGAAAAAATCTTGTATATCTTTGAGCAACTGCTTGTCATCACATAGTAAGGTTGCCTAAGTAGAGGAAGTTAAGATTTCAATGTTAAGTCTAGAGAGGCTCTTTGTAAAGTAGCACTGCCCGTTACACTATGTTGGACCCTTTCACATCCTAACATGTCACTGGGACTGGGAGACTGAAAGGCTGACAAAGTTATCAAAAATTCTAGCACATAAATTGGTGACAAGACTAAAAAATATGAGAAAAAAGCAAGCATATCTCATTATGTATTTTGATCTGCAAAGATTATGGATATTCATGCCCAGACTTATTAATTTGAAATGTATTCATTGAGAGACAGTTAACATGTGAGAAGCTGTGCTGGGTGCCAGGAGTTCACAGACCAGTGAGAGGCACCCTCACAGGCAGGCTACCGCAGCCCTCTCCTTCAGCACCCAGGAGACATTGGCAACCAGAGAGGGGCCTCGCTCCTGCCTGAGTGGAAACAGAGAAGGCAAGGTTAGCAAAATCAAAAGGAAATAACAGCAAAAACCTCATTTCATTTACAAAATAAATTCAGCTGTGAAATAAGGGTATAACAAGTATGTAAGTTTTTATTATTTGAACCAAAAAAATCACTGTTGGAATGCAATTATGAATGAATAATGGAGGTTAGTAAGGAAACTTTAGAAGTACACACATTGGTTAATTGAGTACAGTTTTCAGGAATAAATGTCATATATATAATAAGGTTAGCTTATATTTAATGAAGGAAAGGAAAAGTGAAGAAGAAATGCTGTTTGTGAGTAACAGAAGGTGAAGTGGTGCTGTTTTGTTTTGCTTTCCAAGATCCCACTAAAGAAGCATCCCAGGACAGGGGTGTCCTAGGAGCAGGTCTCTGCTCTTCTCCCTGCACCTGTGTGGGTAGCGCCAGCTCCCAGGGGCGCTGCTAGGCTTCCTGAGGAGGACACTGCAGGCCCCTCTGCCTCTGTGCTTCCTTAGGGCCTTTGATTAATGTTTACCTACACGTTCTTCTCTCTTTGTCTTTCCAGACTGAATTCCATTGATGTGAAGTATCAGATGTGGAAATTGGGAGTTGTTTTTACTGACAACGTAAGTGCGTGTTATCACCCAACAGCTGAGATGAGTCTGGGATTTCTGCAGAGGGAAGGACAGTTGTTTAAGCCATTTATTCAAATATCAGCGTGTTTAATACAGACCATATTTGAGAGATCCACAGCCCATCTCTCCTTCTGTTTCTTCCCAAAGCTGAAAGGTTAAAGGGTAAAGATGTTTACATAAGGAAAAGCAACTGAGATGCAACTCACATACATTTTATTTCAGGTTTTAGTGGAGCAGATGTATACTTCAAAGGTCATAGATGTTAATTTTTTAAATTTTTATTTTATTTTTTTAAATTTAAGTGTACTAAATTTAAACTTTCCCCAAACTAAGTACATTCAGTTATTGTGTTTCTTTTCTTGACTGATCCTTCTTTTATGATAGAATCTTTGGAAACTAGAGATAGAGCCCAAGTGTATATTCAAATGTAACAACAACAACAACAAAAAAAATCACCTGTTACTAAAAACCACCAGTTATCCCTAAGATTGTAGGGATTCTGACCATGGAAATGTACAGGGAAGTGTTCCCCTGGTGAGAAAAATCTTGGGTGTAACAAGCACCCTGTTTCCCACCCTCAGAATGCTCTGTAATCTCTCTAAGGCTCTAATAATGTAGCTAATATATGTGCTATGTCTAGCTGGTATGGCAATGCCCTGAGATGACTCTGTTAGAACCTCATCAAGCTCCTGGGAATAGGAGAATTTATTTGCTGTGTAATACAATGTTTCACCAAGCTCCTGTGTTTCTGGAGCTGCCTGCCTAGCTGTAACTTCAGACAGTGGACTTTCTTGAGAACTGCACAAAGCTCCTAACATTACATATTGTAACTATGAAATGTTACTGCAGCATAAGCAACCTTACTGGTACCCTAAACCATGTGGTTATGTACTAATGACCTAATGTAACCTATTGGTATAAATAAATGTGCCTGCCAAATTTGGACAAGGAGCCACTCTGAAACCTTCCCTGCCTCTGCACCTTGTCTCTCTGTCTCCCCTTTATTATTTTCTTACCCAAGATTTCATCCTTTAATTTTAGCACTGATTTTCAGGGTATATGTTGGTTCCTTCCTCCTATCTCAAGGCTGCTACACACTCCAAATTTTCCTTCCTCTCCCCATCCCTGCCTGACCCAGCCATGGCCCTGACTCTGGGTATCTCCTGAGAGCTCACAATCATGTCCTCTGAATATCTTCCAAAACTTCAACTGTTGAGGCTCCAGCTGGTCTTTTCCATTGCAGTAGCCAGTCCATCCTGCCTTCTGCCCCCTAGGGGCAGTCTAACAGGCCACAGTCCTGGCATAGCCCACTTTTTGCCCAGGGGAGTCTGTCCACAAGATCCACCTTGCTATGGAGCTTTCTTGTCCTCTAGAGAATTTGGGCCTGGGTAGACAGTGGAGGAAGTCTAAAGAACCTCGAGATTTCAGCCTTCTGCAGCTTTGTGGCTTCTGTTTGGCCAATCACTTCTCCACTGTGCTTAGCCCTCAGTCATACAGTGTCTCTCTGACATACAGCCTAGGGTGCCAGATGAAATCTAAGGTTGCCAGTGACATGTAATATAAGCAAAAAGAAATTATTTTTAGCACAGTTATGTCCCAAATGCCACCTGGGATACACTTATACTAGAATTATTCTTTCTTTCTTGTTGAAATTTAACTGGCATCCCAGATGTGGAGTCCACACACAGTCTTGAATCTACTTGTCATTTACTTATATCTCCTTGATTATCTGATGCCTGAACCTGTTCTTTCTCCTCAACCTTTCCTAGATACCTCCATCTGAACGTCCCATGGCAAATACATCATCTTCTCTCTCCTCCACTTCTCCCACTCCCATAGTTTTCTCTGTCTGTTGGCATTTTTGCTCTTGTTATCACACTATAAATTATTAGCTTGGACTCTGCCTTTTCCTTTCCCTCCATTACCTGCCTCTGTCCATTTGCTTCGTTTTACCTTGTTCCCATCCCTGTCCTCTGTAATTCTCCCTCCCAGCCTTGCCAACTTGGCTGCTCCTCGTGACTCGCATAACCTCAGCTGGGAATTGTCCCATCATCTCCTGATTGAATGGCTCTACTTCTTTCAAAACTTTTAGACAAACTTACCTTAAATGAACTCACTTTACTTTTTTTTATAGATTGAGCCTAAAGATGCCTGCTTGTCAGGGGTCTTGCTAGAATAAAATGAGAGACTGTGCATGCAGATGTGGACAATGACCAGCACTCAGCACATGCTCAGTAAATGTTCCTGAAATGCCACTTTCCACAAACACCATCCTGCTCATGATGCTCTGGTGGCTCCCAAAGCCTGTGAGACGTGCCCCGTGCCCGGGTGCCTTACCTTGGCCTGTGGGCCTCCACTGCTTCTGCTTTTCCAGCCGGCTCTTCCCACATAGGAACCCAGTGCTCAACCCAGTTCCTTTCTCAGGCTCACTCGTTGCGTAGCCTTATCTCAGCATCCTTTAAAATGCCACCCTCTCTTCTTCCTCTTGACCTCTATCTAACTCCAGTCTCATGTTGCCCATGACATCTCCTGCACCACCTAATTCTCTTCCTTCTTTCTTTTTCAAAGATTGATATATGTTATGGTCATAACAAAGGTTTCTATCCCTTCCCAAAAGTTTTCCACTGGCAAAACCTGCCTTGTGCATAGTAAACACTAGTGAGAAAAGTTAAAGCAATCACAGGATTTTTATTCTGCTTCATGCACTGTCCCCTAAACATGTGTACATGTTCTAGTTTCATGAGTCAGTTATCTACATTAATTATATTCCTGGAGAGTTTTACAATTTTTTATATTATTATTGTTTTTTATTGTTTTTATTTATTTATTTCATACATGACAATAGTGGAATGCATTATATTCATTATTACCCATTCACAGCACAATTTTTCATAACTCTGCATATAAATATGTTCACACCAAATTATGCCATTATACATGAGCTCTAAGAATTATAATGCCAAAAAAAATCAATAAGAATTCTACAGATATTACCTGTGGTATTTTTGGGTTAACCATAACCTTTGGTGACATCAGATAGTATTTTGTTTTTTTCCTAGACTTATTTGAGTTCATGTTAAACCAAGGTGCTTGGTTAACAAAACTCCTCATATAATCTCTCTTAACTAGTAGGTCTAAATAAACACTGATTTGTGTATGAATAAATAAAAAAGAAAGGGAGAAAAGGAAGAGGAAAACTTGGTTGGTTCTTGGGTTGATTGTAGAGCAGGGCTTCTTAACCCCAGACAGTTTTGCCCCCAGGGGACATTTGGCAGTGTCAGAACTATGTGGTGTTGGCATCTAGTTGGAGGCTGCTAAGCACTCCATAATGCACAGGGCAGCCCCCTCAGCAAAGGGAGTCCAAGATAGCACTTTTACTGAGGTTGGGAAACCCTGTTATCAAGTTGTAAGTCAATGAATTGTTGTCCATGGGAGGATAAGTAAGAAAAGCCATTCAGTGACATTGAACCTTCCAGGACAAACTCAATAAAACACATGAAGAACTATTACAGTTGGCTAGGATTATAAAATGATGGTCTGGGCAGGTGGAGTGATTTTAATAGGTGTTGTCAGAATAGCATTTGACTGTGGTACGTCTTCTGTCTTCTGATGTGCCTTTCCCTGTTTCTCTTACTAGTCCTTCCTCTATCTAGCCTGGTATATGACCATGTCCGTTCTTGGACACTATAACAACTTTTTTTTTGCTGCTCATCTTCTTGACATTGCTATGGGATTCAAGACCTTAAGAACCATCTTGTCATCAGTAACTCACAATGGCAAACAGGTAAAAGTTCATCCTTTTCTTCCCCATGCAGAAAGTGAAAAAGCAACAAATAAAGTCAACAAAAATGCAATGAACCCTTGAATGACAATTTAGAGCTGCCCAGAACTGCATGCCAGCCTTGGCTTGATCAATTAGCTGTGTGACCTTGGGTGAATTAACAAACATTTCTAAATCTCAGCTCCCTTATTTCCTGGAATGAAAATAATGAAAATACTTCCCTTATTGGATTTTTGTGAAAATTAAATAAAAACAAATAGGACCTAGAACAGCACATGTTCAGCACTGAGGAATTAGTTATTATTTGGCCCATCATGCATCGGTCTCCCCATTGGATCCCAGATGGCACCCAGATGGGTCGCAGCACCCTGACGAACTGGTCATATCAGTAATAGAACACGAGATGCTGTGGCTTAATGTACTGTGACGTTTTGAAACTGGGAATCTTATATACTTTTCTCTCCTTTTAAATTGAACAACAAAAAGGAATGTTTCATTCTTGACAAGATCATACTGGCTTTTGGAAGAAGCTGGTCTAGGTTCAGATAATCAGCTTATAGCAATTAGTTGTTCATGTGAAAACTTTCTGTTACTCTGAATAATGTTGCAGAAATGTGCATTCATTGACTCATTTGCTATTTCTCAAGTGTCCACTGGGCGGAAACACATTCTCAGGTATTGGATTACAAGAGTCCTTTTCCAGAATAACCCAGCACATTTTTAAACAATGTGTCCCTCCAAGATACCTGAACTGTGTCCACCGCAGCTTCCTTCATACATCCTTTGCTCTCTTGGCTCCTGCAGGTGGCTCTTACCCATGTCACTCTGTGGTCTGAATGTGACTGTGGCATGCATGGTGAGCATAGTGTCAGGTCTGCTGTGCTCACTCGCCAGCCAGCACGTCTTCATGCAGAGCTCCCAGTGCAGGTTCAGAGCTGGGGATGCTCAGCCTATGATCTGTTTCTACACAAGATGTCTGCTGCCACTTTCAGACAATCTCTAAGGTTTTGGGTGTCCTTTTGAGTGTCACATTTTTATTGGCAGAAATACAGAGAGCTTAATCGTCATAAGAGTTTAACTGTGCACAAATTTACTTCACTTATAGAAGTGAGTTAAGCCTTCTATCAGTGTAACATGAATTCTGGAGATAATTGTAAAACTGATTTTGTAGACAATAAATACACAGTTACAGTCAAGAATGAAGGGTTGTGTTATAATCAGAGAGAGGACAAATAAAGGTAATGTGTCTTAGTATATTTAGAATTTCTGTGATACAACTAGAAATACACTGCTACCAGGTTGGTAATTCACATTTTCAACACTGTATGCATATCCCATTAAAGGTATCTATGTATGTAAACCATATAGTTGGGAATTAAAGATTATATAAAGCAGAAAGAAGGCCTTTTAAACTGTGGCACTTAATTAAACATTGAGGAAAACTAGCCTTCAGAATAGCTGTGGCCATTAGCCATGGAATTTTTCACATTGATCATTGGTTGGTGTTTACAAAGCGAGATTTCTTGGCTTTATTTTTGAAACATGTGCACCATGTATCCTTATCAGTGGTGTTCCCAGGTTTCAGAAGCAACACAACTTCCTGCTTAATTCTAGAATGTGGTGGAAAGAGAAAATAACTTGGCAACCCCTCTTAGTATCATAAGAAAAATAAGATGAACTTTATTAGGAATGTAGATTATTTACAGAAATTCCATCTCATAAAAAGAGGGAAAGTATTTCATGAAGTTTCTTCTCCTGATATTTAGAGGATAGAGAAATTAACATTTTGAGCTGCTTATTGACAGTGTCGGCTCTCTCTGGACATGAAGCTAAGTTATATTCAGTTTCAACTCCAGCTGTCCTGGGCCTTTGTTAGCCAGGTAGGCAGGCAGGTTTTGCATAAGGTAGTGTTACCACCTGATGAAGAGGATATGTGAACACATCTCCCCACGGGGGCTAAGAAAGGTGAGAAGGAAGAGGCAATGGGCACCATTAGCCTCTACTGGGCAAAGCCAGTGGGGTCCTCCCACCCAGATGTACAAGTCCTGTTTCTGATACATGTTCAATGTCATGTTGCTTTCCAGCTGGTATTAACTGTGGGATTATTGGCTGTTGTCGTATACCTATATACTGTGGTGGCATTCAATTTTTTCCGAAAATTCTACAATAAGAGTGAAGATGGTGATACACCAGATATGAAATGTGACGATATGCTAACGGTGAGTTCCTAAGCTTTGATCTAAATGAATGAAAAAGTTATCCAGCTGTTTCAATCTAATACATTCATGCTTTGTCAGTACAGAAAAAATATTATACACAATAGAAAGTTGAAGGGCTCTTAGACAATCAGCGGTTTTCCCTTTCAGCAGAACATAAAGGACCACATCTGCTTCCCAGCTAGAAGTTGGTGGACTTGCTGAGTGACTTGGTTAGAGTTGGAGGGCAGCACTGACCAGCTTAGCCTGTTGCTCTTATGATCCAGGACTGTAGCTAAAGTGGTTATTTCCTGGAGAACAATTTGAAGCTGTAGAAAAAAATGGCAAATTTGGCAAATTACACGGGCAGACAATTTAGAGTGAAATAAATTCCGTGGGCTTGTAAATATGAAAAGATGCTAAATCCCTGTCACAATGAAAGAAATGCAAATCGAAACAACAAAAACTCACTTTTTATCCATTAAGCTTGAAAAGTTTTAAAGTTTGTCAGCCCTTATAGTTGGTGAATTGATGGGGAGCCTGCACTTTCATGAATCTTACTGAGAATTTGAATTGCTACAATAATTTTAGAAAAATTTTGAAGTACACATATCCTTTGACCTGTGGATATCAATGCTGGTGATTTACTGAATGGCTTATTTCCAAATATGCCCTTATATGTTAGTAGACCATTAGCTATTCTCACAAATTGGAGATAATCTAGATTATCAATAGAGCCCTGATTAAATAAGTATGTAAATTCATTAAGAGCCTGTAACTACTTAAAAATGAGGGAACTCTTTGTATGCTGATATGGAAAGACATAGAGATTGCATTTAAGTGGCAGGAACAAAGCAAGACTCTGGGCATTACTGTGAGAGGATGCGCTGGGATTTGGACCACAGATCGGGGAGAGGAAAAGATGTATGCTTGTCGTTTTGTATACTTTATTTTCTTGAGTTATTTTTTTAACCAAATATATAATTTATTTTAGAAGTCTAAGACTGTTTTATCCCCAACACATTATAAAAGAGAGCTTAATTCAATTCTTCTCAATATTATAACCATCTATAGGGTGGATTTCCTGGCCAGGGGGAGAGGCAGGGCATACAGGAAGCTGAGGGGGATGACTAACAGGACCCTCTTAATTCTCCCAAATGTCACATCACTGTTTCCATCCTGAAGATGTTCTGCACATGACATTGTGGTGTCCATGTGTCAGTCACCTACTTAGACAACATGTCACAGTCATGGTCATTTATCCAAACTAGTTCCTGAAAGGTAAGAAATGGTGTCTCAGTTACAGGTTCATAACTTGAACTTGATTATTTATTAAGTACTTGCATGGGACTTAACACTAAGTAAGTAATGAACCAGGCATAGCCCAAAACCAGGGCCTCCTAACAATTATGCTATAGGAGTGCTGTTATTATCCACCTTTACAGATGGGGAGACTGAGCTCCTGAGAGGTGGAACAAGTTGCCATAGGCCACATGGTTAGGAAGAGTCATTCTTCAGCCATTGTTCTGTGCTATTAATTGTTATTTTTGTGTCAGATATTTGTCTGACTGAGCAAACACCATCCCTGCCCTCAGGAACTTGCATGATAACATCTTTGTAAATTCTGTTAAGCTCCTTTGTTTTCTAAGAAGATCTTCCAAGAAAAACGTGACCTAGAAATTCCAAAGTTTTGGAAAACCTTGTAGAGAACCTGATCTTTATACTGTGAACTGTGGGGGTGGTCTCAGATGGTGACATTGAGTGACAGTGTTAGGTAGGGGGATGATCTGCCACCCTGGTTCTCCTTTCCATGCCCGAGTAACCCTTGGCATCTCCCTGGTCTCCCCTGCTGTAGCACAGTCTCCACCACAATAAGCTGTCAACAAAGCATCCTTAGAGGACGAAATTCTCACTGTGGTTCTCAGGATGTGATTCCCTTACTGCTGTTATTTTTGCTTAGGAAGATGATGGCCTTCACCTGCTTGCTTTTGCCCAGTTTCACAGGACACAAACACAGAAGCTGGAGCATTTGCCACTCTTTACCATGAAGAGGCACGTCTCTTGATGGTTTGAACAATAAACTTAGCTAGAGCTTGGTTCTCTTCTGTTAAAGGGATTTCTGGGAGTCTTTGGGACTGAGACTGTCTGAGCCCAGCTCTGGTGTAGGGTCTCACATCTCTGGGCATAGCAATTCACTTACTTTGGACGGTGGAGAGTTTATGGACATCATAAGGCTATTTCAGATGTTTCCTTCCCACAGAGAAAATGCATTTTCCAGACACTAGCCACACCCAGCTCTTAGCCTTTCCATGGGTGCTGCTGATCAGGAAAGCCAGGCAAGAGTCTGAGGCTTTGCTCAAGCTCAAGGCCAGCTGCTTGTTCTTAAAAACTCTCAGAGTCTTAGGGCTTAAGCATCCCCTGTTAATTGGATTCTTACTAACCTGCATGCTGTATCTTCTTTAAAAATCTGACCAAGTGTAAAGTGTAACTGATCACAATGCTCTTTCAAAGTAGAGTCCAGTGTGCCTGTCGACAGGAAAGAAGCAGAACAGGAAATTGTCACATCTTACTTTAATTCAGTTCTCACAGGAGAAGCCCTTCTTGGTAATGTCTTTTAGTAGTTCCTTTTCCTAGGGTGAGATCTCTCTTCTACAAGAATCTCTGTTCTCTCTTTAGTTATGGTTCTTCACTCAGGTCCCCTATGTGAGCTTCACATGCTTGTCCACCACCTCTGCAGGAGGGCAAGGCCAGCAGTCCAGGGAGCCTCTCAAGGTTGGTGCTCCCCTGCTGCCCTACCTCACAGCAGGTGGCGCTGTGGCTGCAGTTTTACCACTCCTGCTTTACTGGGGATTTATTTCATTTTATTTTTTCCTGGATTATGGTGTTTTGAGTCTGAGAATCTAATTAAACCAGCAATGTCCTGATAGAATTCGAACCTCCTTGCCAAGAACTAGAAGGATCTAAAGTCCAGGGGGAAAAGATGGTTGCAGCTAAATACCTGGGGAGACTGAGGGGACCTGTGTAAGGACATTCATCTCCACAGGACAGGAGTCACTGGGGCAGCTCTGGAAACCCACAGTGTGGGTGGACCACCTAGATCTCCCCTGTACTTGTGGCTCAGGTAGGACTTCAAGGCATGTCTTCTTTGGAAAAAGGCTTTTGGGGTGATGGAGATGGGGAGCACCCTCCTGGAAGTTAGGTGACCATTCTAGATGGTCCCAGTTAATTGTTCTCACCCTTTTTGCCCACCCTTTCTCCCCTTCCCTTTTTTATCCAACATAAAGTCTCAAAACATTAAAAAAAAAAAATCTTTACCAGTCCTCCTGAAGGCAACGTGGTGCTCAACCCCAGAACAGATCCCTTGAGGAGGTGAATGAGGAAGACAAGGTGTAGCATATACAGTCCTGAGAATTAACAGCTGCTTGGTCCCCATGTTTGTGGGACCAGGCATTTTTTCTTCCTCATTACTCACATTCTCTGAAAGAAGTGTATCATTTTGTTTCCCCTGAAAGAATTACATCTTTTCAACTCCAGCTCTTATTACCATGTTTGGCTAATTCTATGAAAAGAAAAGTAGACAAAGGATTTTCATTTTCAGGACCAGAAGGATCACTGGGTGGTTGAAAACCTGACACCCCCAAGTGGGTCTTCACTACATACTCCACATGGCACCACTGTAGCCATGCTGAGTCTTTGGACAACCAGGTCATGAGAACCAGTACCCAAACCCCATTGGTGAATTGTGCCCTTATTATTTTCAAATGTAGTATTTCATTGAGCCTAAATAATAAAATCCACAAGACTCTTATCTTTTCAGCATGGATGTGAATTTGCCATTGAACCATGCTGGAAACCCTGGCTCAGCGTGCTTGGAATTACCATACAAGGAATGTGGGGAATGAGATGCAGGGATATTGCTAGGAAAGGCTGGTTGGATGGCTAGCAAGAGAGAAAAGGAAAGAGACATTGCCTTGGTAATTTTGTCTCATGTATGAGTCAGAATGCCAAATCTTATTCATTAAGAGCTCACATAGCAGCCTGCAGGTGTAGTTCACTGGTGGAATGCTTTCCTACCATGTGCAAGACCCTATATTCAATCCTCAGCAGGGGAAAGATTTCATGTAGTAAGTTGCTTTCCTAAAGAAAAGCTCTTTTTGGAAAGCCAATTATAGTCCAAAAGTCTTGGTCAACAGGAGTCAGTCAGGAACTACCTGGATGGTACTTGCTAGCACTGTCACATGCAGCTCCAAGCAAGCAGAACTGGAGAGTAGGACATTCCAAGATGTGGACGGGAACCCTATGTCCTCCCTGCTGCTCCCTGTGGCCACTGGTATGGGTATCCCAGGACCAGAGTTTGACAGAGATATGCCAGTCTTCCAGAGCAAGGGCAAGTGGATTGTCCAAACTAAAGAGGAAGATTCTGAATACAAAGCTGTGCTGGTAAAGCCAGCAAGAACAGCTGAACCAGCCTGTGTCACTTCAGGAACTGGGCACAGGGCAGCCGTAGTCAGAGCTGTCCCTTTCCTCTGGCCACAGCTGAGCACATATGGAGACACAGATTTGGAGAAAATGTCTACATTTCTTCTTAGTAAATATAAGGAATATGTGTGCTAAAACGAACTGAAACAGGGTTCAGGAATATTCAGTGAAAACAAAATGTCCTCACCCCACCAAATGTCCTGGCAACAGTTTCAGGCATAAAGTTCTGAGAAATCACTGCAGTGTCCTGGGGATTTTTTTTTTTTAAATGACTTCTTTAAAATTTCACTTCCAGAGATGAATTCAGTACATGGAACCAGGAATCCAGAATGTTTGTGCTTCCAAGAGATTCTCATGTGCAGTCAGGGCCAGGCCCCTCAGCCTCATCCAGATCTGAGGGCTGTCTTGGGCTCCCAGTGCTCGTGGGTAGGCATTGCAGCTGTGTGCCAGCACACAGAACTTTTCTGAATGACTCATCTTCACTGAATCCTGCTCCTTCGGCTCTAGGCCTCTGACCCAGGAAACCTGTCGTCTCCTGCATCCATCAGATCTTTGAGCTTTTGGTCTCAGTCCAGTTAGGAGCATTTTGGTGTCCTCTTGCAACCTGTTCTTTGCCTGCACTTTCTGCTCTTTCAGGTCACCTGAGAATTTGAGGCCAATGGGTTGAGGCCACAGGTCTCCACAAGAACAGCTCATCTCGCCCTCATTCATCCACAGGCGAGTTTAGAGTTCCTGTCTTGTTCCAGGTGTTATTTTAGGCACTGGCACTGGAACAGGAAAGGGGCAGAGCCGGTTCCAGTGGAGTGAGATAGGCCATCAGACAAGCTGGGGCCCAGATGTGGAGTTCAGGAAGAAAGCAAGGCTGAAAGAGAAAGGGTTGGAAATGACTGGCCCAGTGGAGATCAGTTAGCCAGGAAACAGAGAAAGGTACCCCAAGGGGGAGTTGGAAAAGAAAAAGGATCAGAGAGCGTAGTCCTGGGCATTGGCTCTCAAGAGACAGGGAGATGGGAAGGACTGGCATGGGAGGCTGAGAAGGAGGCCAGAAAGCTAGGAGTGCCATGTGTCACCGGGTGAGATGGCATTTCAGGGCCTTTGCCTCTGTGCTGTGGAGGCAGCCAGCAAATGGGCTTTGAATTGATGGGTGACGTAGCATTCGGGTCAATCAGAGTGGTCTGGACCATTCTGAGAAGGGCTTATGGAAAAAAAAATTATTAATTTATTTCCAAAAGAATGAGTTGTGAGGGGATAAGAATGGGAAAGGATATCACATGAGGTGAATGTAGAGCAGAGATCTAGGATCAGGAAGAGCTTTTTTGGAGGAGGTGTGGGGGAGGCAGCCATGAAAAAACAGCTTAGTGGGTGAGTGGGGCTAAAGTTCTGAGCCCGAGATGGGGACTTAGGATCTGCCTTGAACGAGGATGGAACGTTGGGTACTCTAAGCCAGTGACTCTCAACCTCGCACAACTCTGCCCATAGAGGTGGCATCAGGAGACAGTGTTTTGTTGTCACCAGGGACTGGGATGCTGTTGATATCTTATAGACTGAGGTCACAGGACCCTTCTCAGATAGCCTACAATGCTTAGGACAGTCCCTTGCAGCAAGGAATTACCCAACCCAAATGCCAGTGGCACTGGGGTAACAACCCCCCCCCCCCGGAAGCCACTGTAGGAACCCTCTATTCCCTGTGCTATGCACCCGTAGCCAGCTGTAGTTTCTGCTTTTATGTTTCAGGGTTGAACCAATGAGCCACTATTTCCTCTGTCTGTCCCCTCTGTCTTTTTTCTTTATCTAAGATGTTAAATTAGGAAAGACTCCCAGCCCCTGATTCCACACACTCTAGGTGAGGGGAGGGTTGGGGTTGTGAAGTCTGCTCTTCTCCAGCTCGGTTTCTGAAGTTCCAGGTGGTTCAGTGAGGGTCTTGTGCTTGTCTTTTCCTCTGCTGCTGTCGTCAAGTGACTGGGCAATTCATTCATAGATTTTTTTTTCATGCGCTTCAATGGTATCATGAGACCTTATTATCCTAAATGCATTGGTGCCCAGACGCTAATGCAGGATTTTTCATTATCTGCAAAGTGAGACAGCAGGTGCTAGGCAGAGCCCACAGCAGAGAATTTTAATTGAAAGACAGTGGTGTGTAGGAGCCTAGAGTTTGCATCACAGTTACCAGGATTAAAATGCAGAGATGATTCTGAGATCCTTTCCAGAGTGAGCATCGGGAAGCAGAGAGAAAATCTTGGAGATCTTTTCTTTTCTTTTTTGGTACTAGGGATTGAACTCAAGGGTCTTCAGCCACTGAGCAACATCCCTAGCCCTTTTTATTTTTTTATTTTGAGACAGGATCTCATTAAGTTACTTAGAGCCTTGCTAAATTTCTGAGGCTGGCTTTGAACTCACAATCTCCTGCCTTAGTCTCCGAGCTGCTGGGATTACAGGTGTACACCACCTCATCTGGCAGGGATCTTGAGTGTAAAACTGGGAGACATTGCCCAAGAAGTGACACCTTCTGCCCTTTGCAGTGCTACATGTTCCACATGTATGTGGGGGTCCGTGCTGGAGGGGGCATTGGAGATGAGATTGAAGATCCAGCAGGAGACGAGTATGAGATCTATCGCATCATCTTTGACATCACCTTCTTCTTCTTCGTGATCGTCATCCTCCTGGCTATCATACAAGGTGAGCCTCCTCCTCCCAGGGTTAGGACATCTGGAACGAGAGCCACTGTGGTTGGAGCTGAAGCTCAGGGTGGGGCAAAGATGCAGTGTGTTTTCTGGAAAGGCCAAACAGAGCTTTCCCTTTCCCGTCAAACTAGTAGAGGGAAAAACAAGCAGCCTGCGACCTGAGAGGGGAGGGATGCAGTTTTCTGTGTCTCCCTTGAACAGCAGTGGACAGAGCACTTCATTTGGTTTGAATTTTTTTTTTTAATATTTATTTCTTAGTTCTTGGCGGACACAACATCTTTGTTGGTATGTGGTGCTGAGGATCAAACCCGGGCTGCACGCATGCCAGGCGAGCACGCTACCGCTTGAGCCACATCCCCAGCCCCACACTTCATTTGATTTGAATTCCAGTCCTGCTGCTTATGAGCTTGAGGAATTGGGGGGACTGGGTGAACCAAAGCCATGTGGGTCTGTCACATGGAAGTCACATAAATCTCTAAGCCCTATGCATGGTTGTTGAGAGGTTTTAAAAAGTGATACTTGTTCAAATGCCCAGTGTGGTGCCTGACATGTAATTAGGGCAACATAAGCAGTCAGAGCTCTCACTGCTGAGAACCTGCCTCATGCCAGGCATGTGTTCCCCTCTCACTGGCATCATGAGGACCGGGCTGTTATCCACACTTTGCCTGGGAAGAGGCAGCCTTGGTGAGTCTGCGCAGCCTGAGCAGAGTGTGGAGTCCCACCATGCTGGGCAGGAGCCCACATCCAGACTGGGGCCGTCTGGACTCACAGTCCTCATGTCTAGCCATGGGGCTGCCATGAGCCCCTGGTTCTTCTTTTTATTGTAGGCTAACTTGGAGTGTGGTCTTTTACTCTCAGAAAAAAAAATTATTCATTTTATTTTCTTTGCTTAACCCATTTATCCTGACTTGAACGAGATGTCTAATGTGCCAGTATCTTTTAAGTTCCACAGGCAAAAAGTGGCACTGGGTTTTTGGTTGTTTTTTTTTTTTCTCAAATACATGGAGAAGTGTAAAGGTTCACAGTCTATGTGTTAGGTCTTTATAGAGTGCAGTAGAAGTGTGTTTGGTGAGACAACGAAATCATAAAACTCTTGGAAGAAAGTGCAGGGGCTGAAACAGAATGTCTACTGCAGCTTCTGGAAGCTGCACCTGTAGGACCTCATGGGAAGGCAATTGAGGATTCCCATAGTTAGGTGCTGGTTTATTCCCAACTTGATAGTCCAAAGCTGTTCTGGAGAATTTTCTGTGTTTTACAGCCACAAACCCCAGTTGTTCTTTTGCAGCATGAAGTAGGTGGGTACATACCCTCCGCGTATGCCAAGTTGATCAGAAGTTTCTTGTACTCTGTCATTCATTTTTAAAAGCTCGTTTAGTGAGTGTTCACTTCAGTAACTACTTCTCCCTCCCAAAATAGAGTGACTCCCCAGTAAAAAAAACTGGATGTGAGCTGGTAAGTCTATGAAGTTTTGAGCATTCTCTTATAGAGTTATATATTTTTCCCTTTCTTCAGATGCAACGGGCAAAGGACTATGAATTTGTTATTCTCTGGTCGATAAAGATTAAGTTGTGTCTCTGTTTAACACTAGGTTTAATTATTGATGCTTTTGGGGAACTGAGAGACCAACAGGAGCAAGTCAAGGAAGACATGGAGGTAAGCCTCTTCCTGTGGCGTGCTTTGTGGTTATCATGATGTTCATCTTCCTCACTGCCTCTGTCAAGAGAAGCATGGGTGTGGGGAAGGGGCTCAGGGACCCATACCACATGTGGTTTCACTGGCCTTTTCAGTTTTCAACTGTGGTTTGCAATTCAGCCAATACATGTGCTGAAACAGTAGCTAAACTGGAACTGGACTGCAGCAATGGGTGCCATCCACCCTCAAGAAGTGGGAGACTCTTCATCCTAACCACAGATCCACCAACAGATAGGCACACAGGTAGTTGATTACAGGGCAATGGGAGGAGCTCCTGTGAGGGGACACCCCTGAGCGCTGGGGTCTCCAGGGCTGGTGCTGGTCACTCCTGGATGATCAGGGAACTTCCTGGAAGAGAGGCCCAAGCTGAGGCCCAAAGCTGGTGGAGGTGTAGGTTTGAGAGTGAGAGAGCAGGACAGTGGTACCTTCCTCATCACTATCCCCTCCTGTTCCATTCCCATCTCCAGGGTACCACTCACATGCAGTTGTGTGAGAGCCTCACCATCTAAGGCCCTATTGCCAAGGCTCTGATTTTAGGGAATTTGGATATGCCAAAATTTTTTTGAGAGTGTAAATGGTTGAGGATGAAGCATTAAATGCTAGTGATGGAGCTTGAGAGGTAAACCAGTTAATGAAGTGCCTATAATAACTCACTTGAGAAATCTAGTTGATCATATGGACTGTGGGAAAGAAGGCAGGGATTTGGGAGGGCAGCAAGGTGATGAGATTTGTATCTTACATGCTAACTGTGGATTCAAATGAGAGTTAGGGTTAGTGGACTAGAAACTGGCCAGACCAGAAGCAGAGAAGAGGCCACAGCATTTCCAGGTAGAGGTTATGAAGAGCCTCTGAGGTTGCTGAAGAAGTGCCCCTGAGGAGGCAGGAATGAAATGGAACAGATGTACTTGGGAGCTTGAAGAGAACATGGCGGCCCCAGTGCAGAACAAGGAGATGGAGCAAGCCAGCAAGTCCCTGGGCTGCAGGCAGGAGCCCCTGGATGGGTGCTGGTGGCTCAGTTAGCTCTCCTGGGTCAATGTAGGAAGAGCAGGCTCCTGGAACAGATTACCAATATGAATTGAACCTGTTTGGTTTAAAGGACATCCAGTAGAGCCGTGCAAAGACCTGGTTGTTCTCTCAAATCCCACATGTGGTCAGAAGTTGTTGACCAATAAGGCAGGATGAAATTTCTAAGTTACCATCATCACCTTGATCCCAGGACCCAGGATCTGCCTTATGGGCATGCTCCAGATGGAATTAAACAGCTTCCAGTTGGTGGGGAATGAGGTGTCAACACTAAATCCACTTGGCCTGATAACATAGTCACTCTGATTCCAAAACTCAGATCATGAAATGGAGGGGCTGCTTTTCCTTGAGTGTGTGGGGGCCAGTCCTGCAGGTGGTCAAGCAAGCAGCTGCTGTTCTATGGACTGCATGATGAGAGGCGTAGTTCAGTGGAAAGGGAGGGGAAAAGACCATGTAGCCAGTTCCTGGAATTGACAGGGAAGCACACATCCATTGGCTAAGTCCTACCTCCCACAGTACCTGGTCCAGGGCAGACCCACAGAGTCACTGGAATGCCTCATGGTTTGTTATTAGATTTGACCCTCCCCAAAGGGAAGTAATGTACCTCTTTATCCCTTTGGTTGCTAGATTTGGTGCATGCAGGTACTAAGTTTGCAGTGCCAGGCGAGGACAGTTAATCCTGCCTATGTAGCTGTAGTCAATGTCATGATCAAGAGTGGTTGCTAAGTCTGGACATTTGCATGTAGGCTGCCAAAAAAACATAGCCTTTTGGCTGTCTTCATCCTGCACTCTGCATTTATTACTTGCTGCCAGTACTAGTATTATTTAAACTACACTAAAAAATGGTTGTGGCAACTGTTAAATTCACCTTCAAGGGTCTGGCAAAACCTCCACACAGGTATCTTTGATGTATATTAAGAAAACCAAATTGCTGCTGCTGTGTGATGAGTTTTGCTTTGTGAACCCCTGACATTGACTGTCTCCCTTTGTCCTTTAGACCAAGTGCTTCATCTGTGGAATAGGCAATGACTACTTTGACACAGTGCCACATGGCTTTGAAACCCACACTTTGCAGGAGCACAACTTGGCCAACTACCTGTGAGTACCCAGCCAGACTCTCTGCCCATTCCAAGCAGCTTGAGGCATGGCAGGGGGTGACGGGGGAGCTTCTCTCTCTACACAGTTGCTCAGATACTTTAAAAGAAGGACCATCAGCCATTGGCTGACTTTCCCTCTGGAATAGGTTGAATTATGAATTGAAACTGCAGCTCTTCACATGAAGGATTCTTTCTAAAATGTGGAGGAGGGAGGGTGGAGAGTGGGGTGCAGAGCCTCTGTGGGGGTCTTAGCTCTTCCCCATCTCAAACAGGAATCCTTCAGCTGCTTCCTAGTAGAATGTGAAGCCTGCTTTTATTAAATCTGCAGAATTAAGGTCTCTTTAGGCACTACTGGAAACCTAGTTAAAAGTTGCTTTTGATTTTTTAATACATAGAAATATGGCCACTATGTGGAAGTAGCCAAAATTATAGTTGGGTAAAATGTTATTCCTAGTTTCACCCAACTTTAGTATCTAACAGAGGAGATGTAAAGGAGCATTGTAAAGAAAAATAAATGGGCGAACTAGACTGGATTGAACCCATCAGTAAGTGGGGCCATCTTCCTAAGCAGGTCTTCAATTAAAATTCATCAGTGTTGCTTCGACTCCGACAGAGGTGTGTACCCCAATCTGCAGTCAGGTGTGTGTACCCCAATCTGCAGTCAGGGGGGAAACCATGCATCAGACCAGAAAGTCAAGTCAAAATATGCCCTTCCTTCTTTCCAGTGCACTGTAGTTAATTTTCCATGAATCGTGCCCTTCCTTCTTTCCAGTATACTGTAGTTAATTTTCCATGAATTGTGTTGGTGGTTTTCCTCTGTGCCTACCACAATGGAATTCAACAGAAGATGTATAAAATATTCCATATTCTGATATTTTTATATAACCCCTTTCTCATGAATCTCTCTGTATCTGTAGGTTTTTTCTGATGTATCTCATAAACAAAGATGAAACCGAACACACAGGACAGGTGGGTAATGGTGACTACACATCTTTAGAAAGAAACGATGGGAAGGGAAGCCCCACACACTGGGGCAAAGCATGAGCCCTGCAGAGTCAGGGAGGAATGAGACTTGGGTATTGGTTGAGGTGTCCTGATGTTGAATGCCTGTTACCTTGGAGGAGTCTGGAAAGATTGCCTTCTTTGAAAAAGTAAAATTCTAATTTCACATTGTAAACTTTTCAGTGTTGGGTTTGCATTTAGAAGCTGTAAGAAAATTTTTACAAATTAAAATTAAAAGTGTTTTTAATTATAATGCCCTTGTTTGCTTAAATCAGATGGCCAGTAATTTCAAAGGAACTTCAGCTCACTCTGTTACCATTAGTTAAAAATGACTGCACATTACATGTCTAAGTCCCCTTTCAGAACTGCTCACCACAAATTGTTAATAGTTTGACAAGGGATATAATTAATAATAATATTTTAAGAGAACCCTCAAAAGTACTTATCACAAGCATATTTTTATCATTATTATATTTTTATTCCCAGAAGTAAATAAGGCCTGGTATAGTTAGTTTGAAACTAAATAAATTTGGATTTCTCCCTGTTTTCCATTAGCATAGTTGAGCTTCTGTCTGTATCTTGTGTTCACACACAGATCTGGAGGACCATGTTAACACATTGCCTTTGCTTTTCAGGAATCTTACGTCTGGAAAATGTATCAAGAGAGGTGCTGGGAATTTTTCCCAGCAGGGGATTGCTTCCGGAAACAGTATGAAGACCAACTAAATTAAAATCACCACTGAAACCAGAAGGCCCCCTCCCTCTCTGTGCCTCCCTGTCCACCTGCCCACCCTCTCTGACCCCCTCTCTGTCTCTGTCCTCTTGGAAAGAGCGTGCAGATTTTGTGAATGGCCAGTGTTCTGTGCTTTCTGGGAGCATCAGAGCTCTGTCTCTAAGGACCTGTTTTCCCCCCACCTTGTGTATTTTGTTTGAGAAATAAAGACTGAAGAAGAATCTAAATTCATACCCAGATAAAATGGGAACTCTGGGAAGAAGATCATTGCAGACACTCTCTACCATACCATGCGGGCAGTTTCTTCTGAGGGTCCTGGACACCTCCTGAGCCATGGGACCTTCACAGTGGAGCGTGGCAGCCACAGTCACCGGCCTCTTTATTTCACCATCTGAAAGGGAACTGTCTGAGGGTCACAGCACTGTAGCACTTAGCCGATTGCCGTGGACACCAGTTGTGAAGGGAAACCGTGCCTTATTCTATGTGGGTTGAGCTATGCAGAAGATGTGCATGAAAAGCATCTTTCTTTTCTTTACATCCACCTTTTTTTCCTTAGTTAGATTGATTTCATGAGTTTTTTTTTTTCCTCTTCATTTTTTTTCTCTGGTGGGGGAGGGTAAGAAAAGCTTTCTCACCTGTTTCAAAAGATGGGTGGTGTGACTCAGGATGGACGAGGCTCTTCTCATCAGCTACTCCTCATTTGCCCTCCCTGTCTGCTCCTGCTCTAATTTTGGTAATGCTCTCTGATGCAACATTGCAACATTATGAAATCTTTGTATGAAAACAAAAAGACTGCAAAAAAACACACTTTGAAAAGAAATAATTCATTGCATGTTTATTATGCAAGTTTAAAGGAACCAAGAAAACCTTCAGAAGCAAGTTGATCAACATGAGAGAACTTCCATGATAATTATATCCATAGTAATAAAGTGTCGTGGGCTTATTTGTACACTCGGAGCCAATGTCATCCACCAACAATGTGATACGTTCTGAACTTGAGGTAGTTTTGGGTTTTCCTCTTTCTTTCGGTCACCCGTGATCAGTTGTTGATTAAGGACTTTTCGTCAGGCCATTTTTTGATATCAAAGCTGAAGCAATATCCATTCAGGGATTTCATCAGTTGCATCACAGACCATGGGTGATATATAAATTGCTCCATTTTTTTTTTCCATTTTGAGTCCTTTTAAATGTAATGCTAACCTTTACAATTAAAAAGACACATTCAGAATGGAAGTGAGGTCATTTTGCAAACATTGGAGCTCTTTTATTACAAGTCTGCTTGTTAATTTTAGAATTGTAAAACTGCTATGATTAAACTATTTAACTAACTTTCCATCCTCTTTTTTTCCTCCATTTCACTTTTCCCTGTGGCTCACAAAACCTTGCCTTTGAGTTGAAGTGGGTGTAGGACAGTCCCAAGCACCCTGCTGAGACCTTTCACACTGTCAGACTCACTTGCAGTTGAATAGGTTTGCAGGATTTGTGATTAGCCTCTGAGTAAACCAATGTCAGGAAAAAAAGTCGCTGTCTTTCCAGTTGTTTACTTTTTATACATCACTCATTTTACAAAGTCTTGCTCAGAGAAATTTTTTTTCTCTAAATAATAAGGATCCATTTTCTCTTATGAAAAAGAATCAATGTGTTAGTAAGAGGGGCATTAAACACTCATATGCTCACTGAACATGTGTGCCAGGAACTGTGGTGGACACTAGTGTCATTTTACACCTCTACAGCACGGAGTCCCACCTATTTTAGCACCTAGAATCCTCCTTGGCTTTTGGAGTCACTTGGGGAAAGGAATAAATTCGGCTGTGCCCCAGGAGTAACTTCCAAGCTGCTCAGGGGAAGGGATCTGCCCCGCAGAGTCTGAAGTCCATCAAGTCAGTTGCATAAAATACAAAGGGCACCCTTTGCCACAAACATGCAGAGGAGGAAGTTCTCCTCCAGGACAGGAAGTCAGTGACAGAGTTAGGTCTTCTCTTTATAAACCCAGAACAGTTGACACGAAATAGTACAGGTGAGAGGTGAGTGGGTAGATTCATTAGTTGCCCTACATTCAGCAAGTTACTTTTTTTTCTTTCTTGCAGAAATGTTTTCTTTTGTGCAAGCCCTACTGATTGGTGGCTCTCAGCTTTGGATTCTGAAGTGGGAGGCAGGCTGGAATCTGGGGAATCTCCGCCAGTAGGCTTTGCACAAACCTCAGTGTTGAGGGAAGAGTGAGGGAGCAGAGTGATCACTGGAGAAACCACGTTTCCCAGCCTTACCATGGGCCAACAGAGCAGGACCCTTGCTTCCCTCCGGAGGTCTCCGGAGGAAGAGGGAGCTTCCCTCCTCAGGGTCATGAATTCTCCACCCCTCTGAAGATGTCTCAACAAATCTCAAACACAATGTGGTTGTCTACTTCTCATTTAATTTGGGACTGCCCAACCCAAACTCAAGAAATATAATCCTTTTAGCAATTTTATAACAATATTCACAAAGAACAGCATGGTGGACCCTGTGGGTGCCTACCTCAGCCCAACATGCATAGAATCCTGCACTTATTTCACTTGTTCCTCTCATGTATTTTCCCCCAGAAACAACTTTCAAATCTAATCCATCAAGCAAGTTGAGGTTCACAGTTGAAATTGAAATTTTCCAAATACCTTCAGGTTGAGAGGGTCTAAATATTTTCTTTTGTTTATTTTCCATGCAAAGAAGGTGGTTTGTTCTCAGCCCTTCAAAAACTCATTGAAAAGTCATATTGTAATGAGAAAACTTCAGACCTGATTGCCAAATCATATTCAGGAAAATGGAACATTTTTTCCATTTTCTAGCTTTCCTTGGAAAATGTTCCGTTTTTCTTTAAGCTCTCATTTTCTGGGTGAATATACCAGTTTGGCCCTATCTCTGTTAAGGTCTCCATGTGGTGATCACTGGTAAGTGCCTCATTGACTCTGGACATAGAACTTTAAAAATATTGATTATCTTTACTCAAGAATGAAATTCATAAAAATCTGACTCGGAGGAGGTTTGGACAGACATTCCCTGAACTATTTCATAAATACCTACTATGTTGTAGGAGGGTGACCTCTTGGTCACCTTCATTCCTGCCCAGCAGTCTGCACTTCCATGCTGGAAGCTGGGGAAGGAAGCATCCTGCCTTAACCGCTGTGCATGCGCGGCTCCTGGGTCTGGTGATAGCCATGAACACTAGTGGCTCACATCCTTGACGGCAACAGCTTCAGTGTCGGATCTGACATCCTGCCTCAGATGGACAGCTCATGTGATGAGAACAGGTGGCTGATAACTGCTTTAAGTTCTGTGTTCCCCACATCACAGGGTGTTTTGTACTATCACTGCTCAAAACAGAAACGAGAGGCTGTGATAGGACTTCCTGTTCTGCTGATCTCCTGGGACTTCGGGATCTCCAGGAGGTCATCCAGGCAGGTTAAATGACTCAGTTCTGGTTTCTGCTGGTTAGTGGGGGAGCTGGAGTGTTTTTCTTGTTCATCTTTTTCTTGCAATCAAAATAGTTGGGAAATAGCAGGTTCTTAATGACCTTGTGAAAAGGAAGCAGATTTACCAAAGGTTTTGGTAAAACATCATTGGTGTTCACCGCTATTCTACTTCTAGAATAAAGGGATTCTAGGAGTAATTAAGTGAATAACTTGTTTCAATATGCTCCATCAAGCATAGCTATTTCTAAATAAAAAAAAACCCTAGTGTCAATTTTAGTTCAACACAATAAGAAAGCTTTATATTATATTTTGCTTTGGTATTAAACTTATTTCTATATAGATATCTTGGTTTTCCTGTCTATAAAGTTACTTTATTGTTGCTAAAAAGGATCTACTTCCCAGTTGTAATATTCATCATGTTAAAATAATTTTGGTTCTTATTCTTAAAGGTTTTGGGCATCATCATAGTTGAAAAGATGGAAGAATCCTATATGTTAGTGCGTCTCTCAGTGGGGCTTTAATGGCAAAGGAGCAACTAGTTTGCCTTTCTTGCTCCATGTCAGGAGGAAAACTTTTCCTGTTATATTCTGTGTTTAGAGACCTGAAAATTAAATTGTCAAACAGAAGATTAGTAAAAGAAGAGACAGATGTTCAGAGAAAAATGGAACTCAGCAGTAGGAACCGAGGATTCTGTACCATATTAATAGGGCACAGGGTCGGGCATAGGGGCACTTCTGAGAAAAGATGGATCTTAGAAGGTGGAGAGAAAGGACACTTATGGAAAGACAAAATAACTTTTTGAAAGATAAAGGTGCTCTTAAGAAGACTAGATGGGAGACAGTTTTGTGATAGCTTCTGGGTACCCAGTGCTACCTCCAAGAGATTAGAGTTGCTCTCAGGGGATTTGGGATGATTGAGTTCTTCAGGGAGATTCTACCTCTAGGCAGATAAGGGATTTCAGGAACTCACATTGCCTTTGGCTCAAATTAAATTGAATGTCCTAGTGACTCATTGTAGACCCCTTAACCCACGAACCCCACACTCCCCCAATACAGTCCAGCTCCTTTTATGCTTCAAACATTTCATGTTTATTTTCGAAGAATTCTGTGAAATTGATATATGTGCACTCCATCTTCATTAAGCATCTCTCAATCTTCAAATTTTTGTAGAGAAAATTTACTTATAGGCCTGGTTAACACCACTGAATATTATTAAGTGTATTAAATGTCATGCTCCTAACAGGCAAGGAGGAACTCTAGAACTACTGATTTTAAAAAAAAAAAAAAGACATCATACACTGCAATTTTAATTACCTGCAGCTCTGGATACCTTGTCCATAATGTATTAAAATTAGGTATAATGTACATTTTATATATAAAATCAGAAGCACAGTTGTAATTTGAAGAATAAGAGTAGTACGTGGAATTGAGATAGTGCATACATTCTTTATTGTCACAAAGAGAAATTGGAAATGTCCATTTAAGCTTTTAGTATTATGACCAAGCTGCAAGGTCTCCTTCACAAAGTAAAGATACATGGAACAGAACCCTAGGCATGATAATACATTATGAATTAATAAAACTTCAAGGTTAGATGATTGTTATTTTTTCCTCCCTGTCTTTATATACAAGGACAAATTACTTTCATGTTTATTTTTTAAAACCAGTTAGGTAAAAAAGTAGAAAATTTTATCTTTTTGTTTAAAGGCTAGAAATACTGAAATAAATGCTTGCATATAAAAATCTTATAAAGGCTAAGACACAGAATTAGCTAATGCTAAATGCTATATGCATGAAATAGATAATTTATATTCCATACAGGTCATAACAGCAAGGAAGGATCTGTTCCCTAGTTATCCTGAGTAGTGCCTGCCTGATATTAGTTTCCCTGTATTGATTTTTAAAAAGATGTTTAAAAATACATTGTGTAAGTTTTCATAGTTAGAATAAACAAAGTAAATTGAACCCAATGTTAGTAAAAGGTAATCATAAATATAGATAAAATTAATAGAGTCAAAAATTGATTCTTTGGAAAATGTGTAGCTATTTCATATATTGTGGTTAATTCCATAGGAAGACTGAATATGAAAAAAAGCCCATAAAAGTCCTATATCATGAATACAAGGGGGATATCGCTATAGATAATATATTGGAAGATAATAAATGTTATAAACAATATATGATAATAAATTTGACTACTTAAGAGTTTTTATAAAATGAAACAGTCTTTGAAAAACCCTATACCAAACTGAAAAGATGAACTAAAAATACAAATATCCTTATGTCTACTGAAGGAATTTATTTTTTTAAAATTGCTTCAGAGATGATTTTACTGGTGAATTTTATGAAATGTGGCTTTTTTCCCTCCTAGGTCAAGTAGGTTTTTGTTCTTTTCCTTGAACAAAAGGAAACTTATTGTAAAAAAAAAATGTCGGTAAGTGAGGAACCATATCCTTTACCCTGTGGTTGGTCCAAGGGTCAGCAGTTGACTTAGAACTCTGGATTTGTTTGGTGATTTGAGGACATGACATGATCTATCTCCTTGGGTGCAAATGAGAAGTATCAGGCTCCAGTCATTCTGATTGACATTTTGTGACCAAGAGAGAAAGAAGGGTGAGGATGATGGTGACTGAAGGAACAAAGGTAGCAGAGAGAATCTCAGAAGCAGCTTGTAACCCTGACACCATTATCATGAACTTCAAGGTTAGACTGTCACTCCCAGCCAGCCACACATCTTTTCATTTGTACAAAACAACATTTTCATTATTGTGTAAGCTAATAGAACTGAGTTTTATGTTATTTGCAATGTTTTAATAGATCCAATGTTTTGATATTTAATACAGCAAGTCCTCCATCATTATTGATCATCTCTCCTCAAAAAAACCCTGGATTTT